ACTGAATAATTAATTGAAAAATAAAAAAACATTTTATAAAAAAAAATGCGTATGTATTCAACATTATTTTGTACACTCATTTATTGTGCTGCTTATAATTAATAATCATAGTACCTCGAGTAATTAATAGTTCTAGCTGGTTGAATAAAGTAATATAGTAAATAAATGGTATACATTTAAATTCAATTTTTTTTTATAAAAAAAATCAATAATTTTGAATTCCTAATAAAAGTTTTAATTACGATAAGACTTGTTGGTTTGTATTTTTTTTAACTGCCAATTATATATTTTTTTTATATTATGAAAAAGAATACTTAAATTAAAATTGTTTAATGAAAGTTCCATTACGATATCATAATTAGTCATTAAGTAACGTGATCATGAACTTAGGAGTTTTCACAACAAATAAGTTTGAGGAATTTCAAAAATCCACTCGCACACATTAGGTGATTCGGCATGGCCCCTCTACAAGTAACTATAATGAACAACTTTTGATTGGATTAGTGTTTTTCGAGGAAAATCTAAAGTATTTTAGACATTGGACACACGGTATATTACAAACAATATTTTAGAAACAATTTTTATTAATATATATTTAACATGTTTATTTTTTTTTAATATTTGAATATTATAATTAATGATTAAACGTTATAGAAATCGAATAAATTCGAAAACCTTAATTAAAATCTTTCAATCTTATAATCAAACCTTTTCCTTTTTTTAATTGTTTTATATACTATTTTTAAAATGTTTCTTTGCTACTTGGGATTTAATTTATTACTGACATTTACTGAAAATCTATAGAACTTTTAGTAAGTACATCAATAGATTATATATAAATTATTATAAAATAGATATGTTTTTATTATGTATACTATAATTAACTTAATGCGCCCCCAGTCGACAGCCGACCCGGCTTAAGTGTAATGTAATAATAAAAAATCGTAATAAAACATAAAAAAAACTATCAAGCACCAAGTAGATACATAATTCGCGGTTCCCTAGACTGGTCACGCAAGTGTAACAAAGAATAGCGTCGTTATCGATTATAAAACTGTTTTTATATTGTATTTTAAACCGTGTGTACTACTAACACTCGACCTTAGATAAGCACATTGTATTATAGATTGTTATAGGTTGGGTAGGTACCATATTTTGTAATATTGACGTTTTATTCGATTCGACAAAATTGCATCGAGTAAAAATGAAATAGAATTTTGATAAAACTTAAGTGAAAAAAAGTCATTGGACAATAGCTGGGAGATCCGACACACTACAAGTTTTATGATAATATTATTACCATCCAGCTATTATGAAGGTTCGTTCGTTCAATATTCTCACTGGTCCCGAGGGTGCAAAGAAAACCCACTCCTGGGAGGGGTGTAAACCGTTCAAAACATATTTAGAATATCATTTAAACAAGCTGCTAAACCCGCTTGGGGATATCGAAAATACCGAACATTGGACGATGTAAATTGATTTTATTATACAACAACATCAAAACATAAAGCAAAAAAAAAAAAATAGCATACTATTCGTTGAATTTTTAGACATATGGTCGATGATAGTATTTGGTACACACTACACACATAATACATTTTTAAAAGTGAATTTTTTATCTATAAGACAGACAGTATATTTTGTTGTTTTACAAAATATTTTTATCGCAAATTTTACAAATAAAAAGACAAACGTTTACAAAATATGTTTTAAAATAAATATATATATATATAAACAAATATAACAAATACCTTTGTTTCTTTGTTATTGTTTCTTAATCTAATCATAAAACCTTGTTTTTGTATAACTAAAAACCACGTTTTCAATAGAAATAATAATTTTTTATTGTTTTTTATATTTGTGTGCCAAGAAACAACTATTCTTTGGACTTGGCCAACGGATAACTGGTGGCAGACGTGCCCTTAAGACATTCATAGTTTATAATCGTTGATATATTTATTGATATATTAATACTTTAGTACATACGTTACTTTAAAATTAAAATTGAAATGAATGCAAATTTAAATAATTAATATCGTCCCAAAATTATCTCACTTTTGTTTAATCTTTTGACACTTTTGTTTTGTTCCCAATTTCATTCATTTGTGACATAAAAAATTAAATCTAGCGATAATTTTGAAACAAAAACTAAGAAATAATAAAATACGAGTACATTATTTTTTTAGTGTACTTTTTATTGAGCTCTTGATTCTGAAAAAAGAGGCGTTTTTTTGTAGTTTTGTTAAATATCTTCTCAGATTGTGAAAACCACGATTTTATGATATTTTAAACGGGTTTTCTTCGAAAAGAATTCTCAAATTTGTATTAAGTATTGTACTTAAGTAATTAAGAGGTACTATATTTATAAAAAAACAAAATCTTTATCTTTTTGGTGAGTATTTACAAGTCATAATAAAGATAAAAGTCAAAATTCAAACGGGTTATAAATTATTTATTTTATATCAACTTATCGCTCGGAAATTGGACCGATTAACCATTACATAAATAGTAAATAAATATTTATATACTGTTTAAATGGATGTTTTCATTTTGTAATTGTATTAATCCAATACCGAATGATATGTATACAACGGAAAATTACTTCCTAAACAAATGTTTTTATATCAGATAATTTTTTGCAGTCAAATTATTTATTTTAATAATTTTCATGTTTATTTGTATTTTTTTAACGGGAGTTTAGCACATAAATTTGAAAGGTTACCCATGAAAGCTATTATTTTGAATATTTCTCATAGAAAATAAAATGTTCAATATCTTGAAAGGGGAACGAACTTTGGACGTACGCATGATAAATAAGTCCTTGAAGGTTAGGTAAACCCCTAAGGAATATACTATTTCTCTGCTTAGAGTTTCACAATCAATAAAGTTTGTTATCGATGTCTACTATACTGTACACTGTGTACACACATGATTAACGCAAGAAAGAATTTAAAAAAAAACTATTAATGCAATCACAAAAAAATTGATATATTTTATTTAACGTGCAAATAAGATTTCTTTGTTGTTTTTTTAGTTAGTTGAGGTATAAAGAAAATTATATTAAAATTTGTTTAAAACGACTATCAACTATTAAAATATAACATTAAAATGTTATTATAAACATTTTACTGTCAGGTGTAAGTTAGACAACGAGCAATATCCAAAAATATATGTACTTAATTGGTAATTCATACTAATTATTCGATGTGATGCGCCTGAACAAAACTGTGGTGTTTATTAAAGTCTATAATAATTATATTAAAGTTTATAATAATCTTATAAGTTATGTATACAAATTTAACGGGTTTTAATTAATTGGTTACTGTTTTTTCTGAATACACAAAAAAAAAAAAAACACTGAAAATTAACCAGTCTGGCGGTAACACTAGCATTAATGACTATGACGTACTCGGATGAATGAACCTACTTTTCGATAGCCACCTTGGAGTTTGGTTAGGATCGAATATGATTTTGTCTTGATCCGCGTCGTAATGGAAACCCAGTTGGGTCAAATGATCGTTTATGTATCCCACGTAGTCGTCCATTTTGTTTACAAAGAAACTGTAGCTGTAACTTGTGGGGTTTCTACGCTCGTGCTCGTTCATCAGTCGCTCTAGGTCGAAGGGTTTGTACTCTGGACGACAATTGGACGTCAGAAATCCGTGCAAGGAAAATGCAACTTTGTTTAGGAGCCGCCCAAAATCGATGCCATTCAGTGATACACCGGAAAACCCTGTTGCTTCCTGTTGCGTGTGAAAATTTCGGATCGGCACCAGTGATCGGTAGAACTCATCCAAGTCAACGTCGTCGTTGGCCACAGAATGGACGTACGCCAACGTGCTGATCACTTTGAACGTAGTAAACAGACCTCTTTCGACGGCACTTTTGAGCTTGCCCCAGCAATCGCCGGTCTGGACGTCTTGGCCTCTGGGCAAATCATTGCACTCTCCAATAACGTGAACGGCCGAACAGAGAAACCAGTTCAGTCTTAGCCCGTAATCGCATCCCATCATCAGTGGGATCTTTTTCACCATTGTCGTTGGCTCGGGTCTGATCACCGGATGGAACAAAACAATTATATGCATCCATTCTCTTTCGTCGGTGATCAAATCGAACCACGGGTTGGGCCAACGTTGTTCTTTTAACACTCCGTTGGCCAGGTTGACTTGTTCTTCAGTCGGGTAAGCCGACGCTCTCGTTCCATTTTGTAGGTGTGCAAAGACAGACGCAATCAAAGTCAAAATGATTAAACTGTCGTACATATTCTAAACGGTCTTGATGCAAGATCCCGTAATCGCATCGAAACTCACAGCTTGTCTGATCTATACCGAATGCCTAAATGTACGAAATTTGTTCCATATAGGAGACAATTGAATTAGGCAAAACACACATATTATAATTTTTCCCCCAAGACATGTGTTATATGTCTACGCAAACATCATAAATTCTTGAAACATCATATTTTTTTTTTTGTTTATTTAAGGAATTTTGTTTAATAACAAGTCTGGGCAATGTTTATGGGTTCGTATTACCAAAGTAAACATCGTAAATAATTATTGCAATATCAAATTTTTTTATTTGAGTGAAAATTTAAAGTACGTATAATCATCTTAATTTTTAGACATAACAAAAGCTGTTGATACCATGTTAGTCACCGATAATAATAAAAAATTATAACGCTGTAGTCCAACAGGTATTTGTACAGCCAACAATCCTTAACACCTTGATTAGTCAAAATCGGCCTTTTAGGTACCTCTTCGTGGGGTCTATTATGTTAACGAAAGAAAGTTTTGCATGAACCTATATGATATGCCTGATAATTTATACCTACGTAACCAATATGTCATGCAAAACATTAAAAAAACGGTTAAAGTATAGCGAAAAGTAGTCTTACTCATTAATTAGATTTGGTTGTATAATAACATTCATATAATATGATGTTTCTTAAATGTCACTTTCTGTTGCCCGAATGTATAAATCATGAATGGTTATTATTCCAGGTTATTTGAAGAGCATCAAGAGCTACTCCAGTTATTCACCAAGTTTGGCGAACTCAAAACCAGGGATGCACAAGCCAACAGCATGGAGTTGGCCGAACATGCCAATAAAGTCATGTCCACCCTTGACGAGGGCATTAAAGAGTTAGATGACTTGGATAGTTTCTTCCAATACCTGACCCAAGTGGGTGCTACGCATAGGAATATACCGAATTTTAATCCTGATTATTTTTGGGTACGTATAAAAGATATCGAGTTACCTTAACTCTTAACTAGTTATGTCATTCCTGTCTATATATATATATATATAAGTTTTCGCGAACATTTCTTTTTATTATATTTATATTTGGTTTATTCAACAGGTAACTTTTATTTCAAAAAATGAAAGTTTTATGCTCATGACTTGTATTTCACAGCATTAAAGTTACCGCGAAACGCTTTTATTAATAATATAAAACAGTTGTTGTTTAAAAAATATGTATTAATTAAGTTTCATGTGGGTAATTTTTTAAAACAACAGTTGTGTAACTGGTTTAAGTCCTACTCGAAACATCAATTACACATTCGTTTGCAGCTGCCGACATTTTTTTCAAAAATGAAGTTCTTACAAATAATATGCAAGCCTCGTGAGTTATAACTAATGTAATATCTAATTTAAACGACGAACACAAGATTAATTAAATTTACATAATTAATATGAGTTCATATTGTTATACCGACAATTATAATGAAGATAAATATCCTCCTAACGTCTTATTTAAGCCAAGCAAATAGCACTAAAATATATTTTATAATCTAAAATTCACGGATGGACGTATTAAATTCTGTTTGATTATAAGACAGTATTTGATATTTTTTATCAGATAGCCTTTGGTTTTAAATATCTTCAATGCTCTACAACTTGAATACACTTGTGTCTTGCAAGTCCATAACCAGGGGTCAGTGGAGGCTTCAGGGACAAGTATCTTTCTCTGCATTTTTTTATTATCAAATATTATCATAGTTTGTGGTTTGGCATACAAACTATATAAAACTAGTGCCCCCACCCCCTAAAAAATAAACAAATTGTTGGTTACATAACTAGTTTCTGTTAAAATTAACATTCGTCATATTATGTCAAAAGTGGTTATGGGTTATCTCAGAAAAGTAAGGACATTGCATTAAGTTTTTACCGAGTTGACGATATACCTATATGTTATTAAGCAAAGTTTTTTGACAGAATAGTGAGGAATAATATTAAAAATTGAGTAATGGAATCACTATTGTCGGCACAACAATTAGAAAGTGTACAAAATGAGTTGCTGTTTAAAACCGAACTTGATGATGCCACGGAAAGGTATTATTATTGTTATAGGTTTTGACGTCGACACGGCCTTCTTAACGTGGAAACTATATTACAATTGCATGTCTGCTTAGGAATATATCATGAAACCATGTTTTGTTAGACGGACACTAAACTAGTAATCTGTACGTTTCTGCACATAATTTATGTTGGTAGGTGGTTAAGTTTCTAAAAATCTAAAACCACAATGTTGACCAGAGAAGAGCATTTGTAGAGGAAGCTGAAGGCACAGATTCAAATTGTGTATTTAAAATGAGGATTTTTGACTAAATTGCTTAGGACGAAAGAGATTGATGTAGTTTGTTTAGGTTCTAAGAGTTATAATATAAGATAGGTTTGATATCAAATTAGATACAAGTTAACCAGAAAACGAACAGGTCTCTCAGGATTGTCTAGCACAAAAATGCATTAACACACCATAAGAAAAGCTATAATTTGTTTTCCTTTGTTTTTTTGTTATTTTAGAAAATCGAAGCACCTTTTTTAGAAGCAGTAAAGACTACGTTGGGTGATCGGTTTACGGAAAACATCGAAACCATTTACAAAATCACCATTAAACTAATAATAGAAACGCTGGTAAAAGGTTATTCGGAAAGCGGTACCTAAATTATTGCTGGCCAGACATAACCGTTAAAAAGTTGTATGTTCATCATATCAAACACATTCCAGAGAATTTGTATAGGAACTCCACCGTCGTAGACATTGGATGTTGCATCATACACTAATTCACTAGGAGTTGGAAGACCTAATCAAAAGATTTAAAATTAAAAAAAAAAAAAAACGATGAGCTCAAAATGAATATTAATACGATCTGAGCGTAATTTGTAATAATTTCATAAAGTCAATTTTTAATATATAAATGCCTACTTAAAATATATGTTTATATAATTCAAATTACACAATATATTTATATTGAAAAAAATATATAAATATTATAGGTACGTATGTTTGTATAAAAAAATATATTATTATTATTTATATGATAAATAGTATTTTATAAGTGTAACATTATTATTATTGTTATTTATTGTTACTTGGCTATGTTTATTTGTATAATATATTAAACCGTAAAGTAAAAAAAAAAATCACGGACTATATAACTTAGCGGAGTCTAAACGATAATAATTGTTTATTCGATATACATATATATATAAATTTGTTTTTGTTTCGAGTTGTTTTTTTTTGTTTTTATCAATTTTATAATAGAAATCGTGTAGAAATGGCTTCGTTGAATTCATTACTTGAGCGTTTGGCTGCATTAGTCTCAAGTGAGAAAATTATAATATCAATGTAAACTTTTTTTTTTTTTTTCGTCGTATAATGTAAGATTATATTAAAAAAAAAAATTAAATCGAACTGAAGATTGTTAGTAAACTACGGTATTTAATAAGTCGAAACAAAAACATGAATAATAAATACATACATGTGTGTACATTGTATGCATATTGGATTGATACATTTTTTCTGTGTTTTCTTTTTGTTTTGTTATTTTAACAAACAAATCATTATATTTAATTCCCCCAGGTAACGAACACAACGAACTGTATACACAGTTTGGCAAAGAGTTGGACGAATTACAACAGAATGTGTATGAGATGGCCAAAATTGTGATGGTGATTAAAAATGATAATGACCATAATTGTGATAACCAAAGTAAGATTAAAAGCAAACATGACAGTTTAGTTTTTTTTTTTTATACTTTCGCCAATACATTTTTAAGTTCAAAACTACTCTTACATTTTATCAGCGAAAATATTAAAGTCTTTTAAGTATGAAGTCGTTAATACACACCTAAAAACCGTATCAGGTTGCATATCATAATATCAAAGGCACTGTCTGGGTGGTTTATATTGTGTTTAAATAAAACAGTTGTAACTGATAATGTGAAAAACGGTTCACTGTAGTTCATCAATTATGTCAATACGCACAAAAATTAACTTGAGAGATAAAATTGTTCAAAAACACAAAGTACCTGCATGGAATATTACCATACTGTATGGGTTAATAATACATTTTTTAGGTATCAAAAACATTTTGGTTTTCACGTCAAGACCTTGTTCGAGTCTTAAATTTTATATCTTAAGTACATTTCATACCACATGTTTTAGAACAAAAATAGCTTAACAACGACATTGTGCTAGTTGAAAAAGCAAATATTAAAATGATGTAACCCTCACTTTTTTTCGATTTTGAGGTTATGTTTGCAATCGATTACACAGATTATAGTTTATAAATAATTTTAAGTGATCAATTATTTTAAGCCTCTTTAGAAAAATGCACCAATTTTCAATGGTTTTAATTACAATGTTTGTTCAAATTAAAAAAACGTAAATTTTTTGTAAATTAATATTTAAACAATTAATCTTTTTTTCACTAGTTCGTTATCGTAGATATTTTTATTCGAGATAACAAGTGTTTGTGATTACAGTTTTCTATTGTCTTTTATTATAGTTATAGTAGTTAAACATTACAAATATTTTGAACTTGTTTTCGGTTTTAGTTTATTGGGTTTTGGAATTATTTCTACCGTATTGCCAATATTGCAGTAAACAACACTAGTCAATAACAATATTATCCCACAATAGTTTTTATTCTGACAAGTCAAGTACGTGTAACCAACGAGTAACTTCACTTTGGAGTAAAATAAAGTAGTTAAGCTTTCTATTTACTTTTGCAAGTTGTACATACAATTATAGTTAAACTATTTTTAAATCTATTAAAACAAAATTAACTGTTAGTCCATAAAATCAATATGCACATGCTATTTTAGTGTCTTCTGTAAAATTGAAGTTTTGAGGATTACGTCAATTGACTTATCAACCATCGAATTATAGATTCCTCGTTGGCAGGACTCGGTAGTTAAAGCATTTTTACATTTTTCTTGGTAGATCTGAGAACATTCCAGGTAAGATACACACTTGTTTCACGCTTCCCTGATGTCATAAATGAACATTTTTTTTTTTGTTGCCGACTTTTGCATAGTTACCTACATGCATTTCCTTGGAAATGTTATTTTGCATATTTTCCAATAATTAGATGCTATTTATTACGTATATAGTACTTTAAAGTGTACATATCAATAGGCGGTATAATGTATTTTTTTTTAGTTTTGCTAGTGCTCTTACACATATAATACATAAGCATATGACTATGCAAATTTTAGCTTTACATCAAGTACTATCGTCAGACTTTACATTTTAATAAATAGGTTATGCGAGACGTTCCCGTGAGTGCTAATGTAATAATTCTATTTTAATATTCGCGCGGTACAATACCTTTGAGTGCAAATTTGAATCGCACTTGGCCAGCTTCTTACCGTGCTTGGATTATTTTAAGCTGTTTATGCGATTTTATATTCTGTAGACATTTTAGTTCAGCGCGCGAATTTTGTCGACCTTAATTGTTGTCTAATTTTGTGAAACGACGAAAAGCACAACATTATTAATCGAGTTTAGCAAGAAAAAAAAACAGAACCCAGTTGCGATCAAGTCACCGAACACGCGCTTAAGGGTTAGAAAAATTAAATTATGAAATAATTCGGTACTCTTACAAAATGTAGGTTCGCTACGTGACATCCGAGACTAGGAGAACATTTAATTATTAACGTTAATTTTAAGAAGGGTGAACGTTTTTTTTTTCAGTGAGAAATTCCCAGTTTTACAAAGTCGAATAATTAGTGTTTTTACGTTCCACAAAATATATACATTAAATGAACACAAGAGAGAATATAATAACTGTCGTTAACTGGTCAAAATATCAGATCTACTCGATTAAAATCAATTTAAAAAAAAAAGTAAGGTATCACAATTTGATATCCGACAAAGAAGTAGGTCAGAAAGTGGTACTCTGGTTATAGATATCACACAATATATCTCAATCATTCTCGAGTGTAGTACAAAAAGAGCAGATGGATGCATCAAAATAATATATTTTCTTGTACTTAAAAGTGTTGATGACAATCCGCTACGAATCCATCGTTTGATCAACTGTATTATCGTCCAAGGGTTGTAGGCTTTTTTATATTATTCAGTCATACAAACAGTCACGCAGCTAAAGGATAACTTGAGTGGGTTCAGATAGCCCTTAAATTTCACCTCAGGCTTTCGGGGCCTACCCACTCAAAGGAGCTTTTCTTTTCACAAAAATTTACTAATTATAATATTCCCTGAAGGTATTGTAATTTTGTGAAGAGTCAAAACTGGTTATCGACAAAGCAAAACTATAAAGCAACCTATGCTTTAAAAACGGTTGTCTTGATAATATTAAATTTTTTTTAAAATAAAAAAAAAATTGTTGACACTCCTAAATGGTCTGACCTCTACCAAAACTGTAATGAATGGTGACTGATGAAAGAAGAGGAACGTTCCCTAAAATAGCCCCGTATCAGGAACCCTAGTGTTATCCCTAAAGAATCTTGTGGAGGAAATTCCTTAAGCTGATTAAAAAGTTTTAAAAAAACCAAACTTTTGGCGGTTTTTTTTAAATAGAAAAAAGATCATATGTTTGCATTTTTAACTCAAATTTAAAGTAAACACATAGAGCGTATGTAGGCCAATTTTATTTATAATAGACAACAATATATTATCATGTATATTTGTTTGATCAGTTGTGGATATTTTATATTGCTTTGTCATATATGTTAAAAATTGACGGGCTAATGTGAAGCGTTGAAATTTTGACTAAAAACAAATTGAAACTCTTTAATAAGATGAATTAAAACGCATTTTTTTTTACGTTATGCATTGTTATATATTTTTAAAATTTTACAAAAAAAATAATATTTCTTTGACAAAAAATAGAGCGTAACTTATGCCTAAGCCTAAGTTTGATTACAAGAAAATAGTTTTAATTAATTTCGACCATGTCAATTTATTTTCAGAATAATTTCTTTAAGCTTCAGATTATTATTATTATTAATTATACAGTTTTTTTTCTAAGATAAATATCCGTTTTGATGGTAAAAATCCTTTTGATTCGGTTAGGCTGTGGTTAAAATAGGGACGCAATAAATTTAGTTAAAATAAATAAATAAATAAATAGGCCAACTAAATGTGAAGATAAGCCAACAATAAATTGCCTTTTAAATTTGTTTTTTCTTTTAAATAGGTATGTGTTTTTATGTTTAAGACATCAGTTTTTCTAATATACCTATTATGTTACTGAAAAAATGATCAAAAATCTTCTTTCGATGGCCGTTCTTACCAGTTTGGTTTAAAATTTAAGGTAAGTTTCGACTATAATTATTTTAATATGTTAAATTACTGTTATACATTTTTAAGCTATACTGTTAAGAACGACCATTAGTACTTTTATTTATGTATTTGTGTTATGTCTATTATTTTTAAATAGTTAAGTAAAAAAGTTTATAAATATTTCCATTGAATTAAATGATTTATTGCTATGAGTTCAGCTATCAGTTGACAGTTAAAGACTTAAAAATGATTGGTTAAAACTTATGGAAACATGATTAGTCAGTTTTACATAAAAGTTCTTGGCAACAGTAGCAGACTGTGGGTCTGTGTAAATTCCCACGACATACTTTAAATACAAAATAGCCGAGGCTGTAAACACATACTCCTATAGCGTTAAGAGGGTTATGTGTACTTAGGGTTTAAGTATTGTCATAAAGTGGTTATAAGCGGTACAGGACTATTAGCATGACCTTCGTAAAAACTTTATTCACCTACTGGTCAACTTCAGACTTAGGTTCGAATAATGTAAAATAGAAGATACGTTTTCTGTTACTATGTAACTTATCTAAAATGTTTGCAAAAATGTTAATATGATCGTTTCGTTTAAAATCTATTTATTTTATAGAACAACCAGCTTATGTCAAAAGTGAACAAATAAAGTTTTCCACCGCGTCGCATTCAAATACTTCCAAGTTAAATTGGAAAAACACCATTTTAAAACCTGAAGTTCAGACGTTTGGACAACTTGAAGACACTAAAACCGGGTCAAAGTGCGTTTGTGGTGAAATTAATTTTACAATTTTAAACAACAACCGATACTATATTTTAGACCCAAAACGCAGAGAATTAGAAATCACATTGAAAACATATTGTGCGAGTGTTTTGAAAATCAATCTAATTTTAACGCCGCATGTAAAAATAAAAAAAACAAGAAAGAATTTAAAAAAAATTCCAAAGTGAGTTGGTTTGCTTACAATGACATTATATGAACACTTGTTTCACTTGTATTTTAGTATTACAATATATAAGTAGCTATTACATAATAATAGAAATGTTGTTAAACGCTATTTATTCTAACTGTTTCATATCGGTTAAAACTATGTTTACATTTGCAGTGGAATCTTTTAAGGGATTCTATGATTAATGTAGAAGATTTATTGGAAAATAAAAATCAATATTTTCGGCGAATTATTAACGAGTTAAATGACGAAATCGAAGCGGCTCACAAAACAAATCTCTTTACGTTTAATTCCTTAGCTCATCATTTAAGGTAGAAGATTTATAGCTTAGCGTTTATACTAGATTTTTAGATATACTAGATTATAAAGTAGTTTTGCTCTCTTGTATAAAAAACACTTGTACGAGCAATTCTTCTTTTGACGTTTCATTATGATATTAAAACAAACTGTTCTCAATTAAATAAGATTTATCATATTCATATATTACCTAATTTAATTTTACAAAAAAATATTTTAGCAAAACTATGAACTGTGAAATGAAATTTAACTATCTAGAAGGTCTTTACAAAAAGTGCACCGATATGTGCAGTAAAGAAATAAGACATTTAGAATTGCTTAAAGAAATTGAAAGCACTATAGAAGCTGGGCTCCTACACTATAGTTCAACTAAATCGCTAACAGAAGAGCAATGGTAATACAACTTGGCGTTTAATAATATTATCAAACAAATTAAGTTATAATAATATGTAGTTTGAAATAAAAAACACAATAATTTTAAATATTTGTTAGATTCATAATTATGTTATAGGGCGTCGTTAAAAAACGATTTAAACAATTTCGAATTTATTTACAACAATATTACAAAAGACATATTAAGCAAAATTGATGAGGCAAGTATACTTTTATAATATATTTATAGGATTTGTATACAAATTATTTATAAATTACTGTATTTAACGCCTAAAGAAGACACGGTGTTACATTTAAAAAACTAATTCGCATTGAACTTTGTCATTTTGTAAACAGTTTTCTTTTTTGATTTAATTTTATGTTCAAAAGATAATGAATGGTAGTTTAACCACGTAGACAATTTTGTTAAGTCCAGAAGTGCTTAGAATTTTTAATTTGAATTAATTATCTTATAATTCAACAGAGCGTTAGCCTGGAGAAACTATTAGATGAATTCATTCAGCAACGAACTGCGAGACATAATGACATAAAAGAAGGTAAATTATTTATATTCGCAAAACTATGATTGTTAATTCCAAATTCCAGACATATAGTATTTTTTTTCTTAAAATAAACAAGAGTTCAGCTGTTTTAGCCATTTTTTTTACTAATACCAAAAATAAAAAAATTCTACAGAAAGTCTTTATAATATCATCAACTCAATCTATGTTTGATAAAGATATTGTGATCTCAATTGTATGTATGTGCATTATGCACAAGTTCTATATGCTTCTATTGAAACCATGCAATACAAATGCCATAGTAAATAAACAAAATGATTAAACTAGAAGCAATTGTTTTTATGAATATAATATAAAATAGAGTTAGTTTTTACGAAGGGGAAGAAAACAATACCTATATTAGTTATACTTTGGTGTTTTAGAAATTAAAATATATGACCAGTTAAATCAAAACATTACACTCGGCTTGGAGTCTGGCAAAATCAAGTTATCGGAATTGAATTCAACGCTTTTAGTTATAATAAAGAACAAATCATCTTTAGATGATAAAATAGCTGAACAATATCAGAAGGAAAAAGCTATATCAACTGCTCTAAGGTAAAATATGTATAATATACGTTTGCGCATGGTTTAAACATTTTTAAAAAAGTTTTATAATTTAAATAATGCGTGAAAATTAAAAAAAAAACATGAAATTTCCAAGACAAAAACTAGAGAGTTATTAGATTATAAAAAATGAAGTACTGATGCAGACTAAATTTGTTATTTTGGCTATGAATTTCTCTGGGGAAAACATGGTAGTTGAGACAATTTGTATTGTTTTTATACTGTCTGCTTAGGTCACTATAGCCAGCATCTATTATTGATCAAAATTGGATAATATTTCAATAATAAACACCGTTGAACTGCAAAGCGATAAATTTTATACGAGTAAGAGAAGAATACTAGAAGATGTAAACTTATTTATTTGTTTAGACTTTAGAGCTCACTACGTGATAAATAAAAAGTAATAAACCTTTTGGGAAAAAAAAAGAATAAACTGATAAAAATCTCGTGAGTTATTTTACGACGGTTCTTTTTATATCGAGAAAAGTTTTTTTTTTTAATGCAAAAAGGTCCAAAAATTGTTGACAATAGCAAAGTTTTAAAAACTTTTCTCCTTTATATTTATTTATTACACGGGGTTTGGAAAACTGCGATTTTTATATTAAAGCGAACAATCTTAAGCAGAGTTGAACGTCAATACATTAATTTTCACAGAAATTAGTAATTAAACTAATCGTTAGTTACAAAGAAAGTAAAATATTGTAACAGGAGTATTTATTGTCAACATAAAAATTGTATTCAACTGAAAACAAACGTCAAATGCTTAAACGATAATTATGAAAACTAAAATTAAATACTTTACCATATGGACTAAGCCGTTAATAAAAATGTTTCTCAACACCCATAAATAATACCTATGACTAAGATTTAAATAATATTCTTGTGCAACCCAATTTTGGATCAAAACCACCACATTTTTTTTTTCGCTGAATCCGAATATTTTATTATACAACATAATCAATTGTGTACCAAACAATTATTTATCTATACAATAATATTCAAATATGTTTACAAAAATACTTGACATTTTTAAATCCCAAAGTTGTAAACAAAAAATCAGCATTTTATCATTATCAATCGTGTTGAAAAAATAAAACCAACTCAACTCATAACTTTGCAATAGTTTAAAGGAAATATAATTAAAAAAAAAAAAAAGATTATAAAATGTCTAATTTAATACTATTTAATATGATATCACAATACATTTTTACTAATTTTGTGTAAAACAGATTTTATATTTACACAGCATAGTATGGTTAAGTAAGTACTACCGCCAGGTTGTCAGTGTAGATAGGTTAATTTGATTGGCAAAGTTTCGAAAACTTTAAATCGTCCCCCGTATCTTTAACCATGTAAGATGAAAGGCTTCCGAAACGATGGTAATCAAGTCAATTACATCACAAGAAATGCTTTCTTGCATGCAGCCAGTTGTGTAGATAATTCAATATGTCATACCAACGAGTCTGGGGTTAATAAAATTGTTTATTTTATGCGTTTGAATACTAAACTATTATTGCTCTCATGTTGAACCGATATTGGTATTATTTCAACTACTAATTGTTAATAAATTACTTTTGAATATTAATAACAAATAAAAATAAATTCTTGGATTAAAGCGATATTGATTTTAGTGCGTCTTAGGATACCCTATAGTTCGCCGTAAACGTTTAAGAGACATCTATAATCAAAATTTAAATATTTAATCAGAAGGAAAACTGTTTGGTTATTTCGTATATTTTTTTTTTCTTATAATAAATACACGTTAATATTTTTAAATCGATATTCAACAATTTCTACCATCTCATAAAAATAAAGAGAAAATTCTTGAATCATTATTGCAAGACCAATAGTGCTCGACAAAGATTTGAATTTTTTCATTTATGTTTTTTTTTTATTTATCTCTGTTTGACTGTAGAATTTTTATTTTTTATTTAAAAAAAAAGAAGCAAATTTGTTAGGCAAATTCAGAACTAAAAAAAATACAGCAATTTGTATAAAGTTTTTGAAGTTGAAGAACTGAATTATTTCCCCCCCCCCCCAACGGGTGGTCACCAGGAGGGGCGGATTCTAAACACATTAAAACTTAAAATTAGTGCTACATTTATTTTTCGGTGAGAGATTTATTGAAATAGAAAAATAAATGTAGCACTAATTTTAAGTTTTAAGGTTTTGAGATTCTCAAGTCCCCCCTCCCATTCTTATACTAAATATTAACACATTGTCCGTCTCTAACAACACACGTCATACCTAACGTATAATATCATGTGTAGCGAATATTTATGTTTCATTGGCATTTTTTTTTTTAAGTTTTTTATTTGGCAAGTCAGTATTCAAATGATTGCTTTTTTATATTTTTAGTGCGGTAAACAAACAAATCGAACAATTTAAAAACGATACAGTTATTGAAGCAGAAAACCCCGAGTGTCAAAATGATGATGTTTGTACTGGTAATTCAACAACGATAAATATACAAACAAATTATGAACTTGAAAAAGCCGTTGAGTGGGCTGATCAAATACTACAAGAAGTAAATACAAATAATAGTAGTACAAAGAGCGATTGCCATTTCAAGTAGATAAATATTTAATATGTTGTACCTACCCAGAGTTTAAAAGTTTTATTATAATTACGTTTAACTATTTTAGAACATACAAGTTCCACCTCATAGTGTAATTCACAAGTGTGTTTTGAGTGTACAACCATAATGAGAACAATTACAACTCATTGATAAAAATCATATTTTTAAATTGTTTACTTTTTTTGACTAGCGTCACACATGTGCGATTTAAATTTGAATTTTTACTCTCATAAAACGTTTAAAATTATAATTGTTTTTTTTTTTTATAGCAAAACCCGGTATTAAATAAAACTATACAATAATATTAGGTAGATATTCGTCTGGAGTAGAAAATAAAAATAAACAAGTGGAAAGAGGCTTTGGATTTCCACTGGGTTTTTTACTAAAATTATCATTATACTAGTCATGGAAAAATAAAATAATTATACATTTAACGAATAAAAATTGCAACTAGACTAGCACTTAAAAACATCAAAGACATAATAAAACTAGTTTTTTATCTCGAAATTAAATGAAAATTATTCAGAGAATTATTATGCGAATAAACAAAAACTAGGTGGTTATTATTATTATTATTATTATTGTTAACTAATTATTTATGCGTCGTTGGCTACAAAAAAAAAAAATGATCGATTCCGACAACGGTAAAGTATTAATTGTATAAAACGGCGCCCGATATAGGCAAAACCATGTACACGGCTGTGCGTTATAATAACAAGATAGTTTGGAAACCCTACGAACAAAAACATCTCCATATTATGGTCTGCACGCATCTTTCTTAATTATTTTCGCACGACTACTGTTATCTGAAACCAACAAACTACAAAAGCATACAATAGTGAATAGAGTATTTTTTTTTTCTTCTTTAGATAGACGAGAAACGATTGAAAATAGACGAGTGGCCGCGAACACCACATCCGGTGAACTACGACAACCGTCTTGAAGCAGAAATTAACAACATGACTTTGGAAGTCGGTGCAAAGCAAAAACTAGCGGCGTTGGAGTTGAAAAAAGTGCAAAAAATCCAAAGTATCATACCCGATTACACACATTTCCAAGAGGAAGCCTTGCAAGTCAACAACAAAATTGATGATTGTCTCAACGGTATATTATGACAACGTCTTACATGCTCTATGTACGCCTGCCGTTAAATTCGAAATTATTTAACGATAAATTACATTTTTTTCCCCACCAGTTTTGACAACGATTTTTCACAACCTCATGATTGACAACTATGGCAAAACTTTGGAAAATGTATGCGACGACGGCAAAGAGTTATATTCAGTTTGTGTGAGTAATTTTTACTTTCTGCAGCTGCATACCTTGGCCGCACGTTTATGTACCCAACAAAAAAGACTTACCAGATTTATCAAAAAAATTGTTTTTTTTTTACCTTAAACCGCTAAAAAAAAAAGGATTTTTTAAAAATATTAATCATGTTAATTTCAATAAAAAATACAGGGAAATCGAAATTTTTGTTTTAAACTTTAACGAAGAGATAATATTGTAAAAAACTAGGTTTATCGATTTTTTTTAATTTAATTTACAAAAAGTGAAATGTGATTGGATTTTGTGAACTTTGTAATTTTTTTAGAATTTTTTAACTGTTCATAAAATTATGAATTTTACATTCACACTCTTATTCAACAGATAATTTCCATATTTATCAAAATAAGAAACTCAAATGTGTTTACACTAAGAATAATTTAAAAATTAAATAAAATTATTTTCCCATAATTGGGCAAGCCGCATGTCTAACGTTTAACGGTCAATAATACTTATACCTACAAGTTGGAAAAATCAACTGTTACATGCTTACATTGTACTTAGTAAAAATTACATGTTAAAAATATATACCTATATGTATTTATAATATATCTATAAATATAATAGTTCCTCAAATAGAAATGTGGTTAACAAACTATAAACAAAAATAACTAATAATAATATTAATTAAAATATAGAAAACTGTGACATGACCTCTAATTACATTTTAGATACAAATAATGTACATTTTAAACATCTAACATGCATACTTAATTTTGGAAAAAACCCTGAGCAGTGGACAGTGGTACGCCTAAAATTTTATTAAGGAGCTTAAGATTTAATAATTGACCCACTTTATAATAGTCGTGAACAAAGTTTTAGCTAATAATAATTTATATATATTATTTGAAAAGCAAATCTAAAATATCGCGGAAAATCTATAAAATAAATTACCAGTAAGTAATACCTGCTAAAAAAAAAACTTTTCTACAAAGCATCAGCAGACGGCACTCTATTTTATTAATCATAAATCATAACCCCATCCACCTCCATAACATCGATCATAGTTGTATTGCACAAGACAGTTGTCTAATTTAATTGTCCCGCTAATGCACACAACAGTCATTATATTGTGTATATGCTTTTAGGTCTTCACTCAATAAAACATGATATGCCAAGATTAATGGCTGTAATCGTTTAAAAAAATAAAACATAATATTTAAAAGTGTATCTTACTTATATTATGCGCATCACAATTATTACTTACAAATAGTTCACTAGGTACTTAATTTTATTCAACACTTTACTTATCTACATTTTAATAAATACAACTACCATACCGTCGCTTTTATATGAAGTTTAATATTATAAAATTAAATCTAATATTTCATCCCATTCCATTCAAAGGCCTTCGATACAACAGACACAGACTGTACTAATAGTCAAAACGCACCATTTCTTAGGTGTAATTTTATTCAAAATGTTATTTATTCATTTCCCATGAACAATTGATGTATTGATGTATTTATAATACAAAATGGGGTATTTACATAAATATTATGCTAAACGTTCCTTTTCCCAAAGGTTCTATTTTTTCATTCAACTGAACTTTTTTTTAAAAATTAACTTATTCCGAAAAAAAAGCGCCTTTTTACCGAAAACCAATTTTTCAAACTAAAAAAAAAAAGTTACAAAAAACGAATGGTTAAACTATTGAACTTTTATTTTAAAGTTTTTTTTTTAAACTTACTAACGTCTATTTTATTTCACTTTACCAGAAACCTCGCTCTACTAAAAAACTTTAAAAATGTAAATTATTCGGATTCCGATAATTCTATTTTCAGTGAAAACTTCAAACCAGTAGTAAAAGTACCCCTAAAAACGAAAAAAAAAAAAAAAGTTCTCACCCCATTTGGCTTAAAAGGGTTGTTGATACACTTTCTGTCTTCTGCAGATCGGTAGGAATATAGGATTAAAAGAATGTCCAAAGTAAATTTTGGATTAATTAGAATACCTAATTTTCAAGAAACTTTTTAAGCATACCGCGCTTATAAATATTATAATTGGTAGCGGTTTTATCGACTTTCAAAAAGAAAGTGTTCACTTAGCAATAATATTGTTTTCAATAATTGATTGACAGAAACTAAATGTCTTACAAAAACGACTTATAAAATATTGAAAATAATTAAATATTAACAAAAATACTTAGTATTTACATTATTTACACACCTTGCGGTTACTCCCATTTGTTTATCTTGACTGGCCTTAATATTTACTCAATACTTTATAAGTAATTTTTGTAAGACATTTAATTTCTGTCAATCAGTTATTGAATTATTTATGATTAATTATTGTACATAAAGTATTATAACATCCATACATAACAACAACAAAATGTTTTCCAATAGTTTGTTAATTCTCTAAAATCATGTTTTAGTATAGAAATATTATCATTATACTTAAAATATTAGTAAAACATTGGAAATATTTTTATAATATTTGAAAAACGTTTTTTGTAATTTGTAAGTTGTAACATTTTAGCTTCTGCCAAAACTAGAATTTAAAATACTTTTGACAACAAGTTGGAAATATTAATGTTTTGATTGCTGCAAAATTTTGAAAATATTTCCGAGACAATAATTTATAGATGTAAAACATATTAAGTCATCTGTCATTACATTAATTAAATAGAATTAAAAACATTCCAGTAAATATTATTTTACATGTTTATGCATAAATTATAAAGCTATCGTACGCCAATATAACATATTCCACTGTATACTATTACACAGATAAAATGTATTTTATACTGAACGAAAATTAAACAAGGTAATTAAAACGTTATTATTTTAATGGTTTTATCATATTGATTGATTGACGTCAGACATTATATTATTATAGTACAAAAACATGGCATTTTGTTTGCTCGTATAATTTGTCAATAAAATCATTTTGGACATTATTGTACCAAACACCGATAAAAGAGCATCTAACATTCTAACCTAACTACTAGTTATACATGCATTTCATTTTGCAAGGAACTTTTTAGTTTTTGACATTATCATGACGATATGGAAGTAATCATGCCGTTCAATATTTGTCAATTTTATTCAAATAACTAAGTCCGGATCAACCCTTTCAGACCCACAAGCTATTTGAATGAAATAAGCAAATCGTACTTGCTGATGTCCCACTCTGTACATCAGTCCTATCTTCAGTCAAATTTTCGGACCCCAAGTCTCAAAACTACACTCGAAAAAAAAAAGGAAAAGTTTCCTACCCTTCTAGGGGGCAAGGTTTTTTTCGGTCAAGGAGACACTATCGTGGGTCGAGACACACAGAATAAGAAAACTCATCATTTTACAATATACCTCCACAGTCCACGTCGAAGCTAAACACATCTCGAACACTGCTAATGGTAATAAAATTTTTTTTTTTAATTGTACAACGTGTGACTATACGTGTATAAGTATCACAGGGTATTGTTATGTCCGATAGCCTCATTTACTACCGTACACAAAACTCAAACCATATATAAACTTTTTTCTGGCACTAGTCCAACACCGTAGAAGTAATTATAGCCCATGCCTCATTATAAAAACGTATCTTCGTCGAGGTACGTGCATATTTGTATTTTTTTATTTTTTTTTATTTGTATTTTTACACAGAGCACATACGAAAACGAGCTCGATAACTTGTACGACGAATCTAGAAAAATGGAAGCGCTATTGGAAGAGAGGATACAGTTGTTACAGGAACGAATGAAATCGATATCGGCTCAGAGACAACAAATCGAAGAAGCAAACCGAGGTTTGGAAGAAGAAATTAACAAGTTAGTATTTTGGAAAAAAAAAAAAAAATAAAACAATTGATATTAAATTACACATCACAAATTATAAATAAAAAAAAATATTCAAATTCTCAAAAAAGCCACAACGGCAACAGTATTGTAGTAGGTATTTTTTTGTACAAAAACACAAAGTACGCAAAGTACAAAATTAAGTTAATTATATTGTTAAAGTTTTTTTACTTTTTCTGAGCAGCTAAAATTACTTGCAAAACGTTTAACATTTTTAAACAATTTTCCTATAAGTATCTTGTTTGATAGTCTCAGGTTATCACTATGCCGAAGATAGTAATTAATATTATTCGACTAACAAATTACAAATAGTTAAAGCTATTAAGTTGTACAGTTTGATATATTTTTATCACCAAAAAAAAATCTAATCACAGAATAACCAAAACATTGTGCAGTCAGTCAAGGTATAATTATTTTATTCATTTTTAGGATTTGAAGTACACATTTGTATGTAACAAACGATTTAAGAAAACACAATTTTTTAGCTTTTAATTATTTATTTAAATTACATACTACGATATAAAATTAATTAACATAAACTATACTAGGAAATTACATTAATTATTTTATATTTACTTCCTTTTTGTAAACAATTACATAAATTGAATTATGTCATTCTCTGTAGTTAATACATACTACGTTTTTTACTATTGAAATCAGTACTATTAACTATCTGTAAGAAATTATCACATATATTTTTTTTTAACATTTAGACTCGGTAAAAAGTTTGTGGAAATGGCAGAGAAAGTCAAAGTACCCGAAGAGTCGGAAGAGAGCAAACCGGAATGATCGGTTTTCCTGTATACATTTATCTGTCTAAACTCACTACTACTATAATACAATCACAAAACATTATTACCACGACTTTGTTTGAATGTATTTAGTCGTTGTATCCAAGCGGACCAATAAGTAAGGCATAATTCTTTGGTCAGTTTAAATACATTGGCCGGATGACCGTCACTGTATGCGATAACGACTAAGCCTTCTTCAACCTACAGTAAAATAAAGTCGATTTAATACAATTTTAGTGTTTTTTTTTTTTTTATGTTTACTTCTTCCAATGACGTAAAACTTACTGAAAAATTGAACAAAAATAAAAATTGTATTAGCCTTTTGGAGGCTTCAAAGTCTCACTTGTTAACTATTACTATTACTACTACACCCAGTTAGTTGTTCCACTGATTTAGTACTTACTTTAAAACTATACGAAGGGTCGTTGTTCACGGCGCCCATGTACGCAGCTAATTGGATGGGAGCATCGAAGGTAGAGTACAAACTAGGTTTGGGCCGAGATGATTTTTTCCATTCTATTACCACTGGTGTGTTTCTATGTTTTTAAAAGCATATAATATATTGGAATCCAATATTATATTATTGTATATTAATACCAATTTGTTACCTATAAAACGCAACGCAATCGACTATACCCTTGTACTCGAGATCGTTGTGTACCACCATTTTTTCCACTAATACTGCTGATGAAATATTCGGAATGACGCATTCCAAACTTTTCCAACAGTTTTCAACTTCGGTATAACTACTAATAGAGGGTTCTTGGTCCAATAGGTATGACTGAATTTTACTATGCATCTGACTGCCCATGTCCATTTGTTCTGAAAACAATTTTTATATTCTAATATTCTAATTGTATTGTTAAGTTACGATTATGAACCTCTGTTAAATTTGATAAACCCTTCTTCTCCTAATTTTTCAATCATGCCCTTCTTCCAGTTTTCCAATGCAGCCCTCGACTTTTCTGACATTGTCTCATTAAGGATGTATGTAACGGAAGGAAATTTGTAGTTTGAAACATTTTCTCCTGTCGTATCACACAGCTGAGCAAAGCTGCAGCGGTCTTCTTCGATTAACAATTGCTTCGAATCATTTACGAAACTGCAATGGTCTAAAACACAATCATTTTTTTTTTTATACTGAAGTTAAAAAAACTAGCAAAGAAAAGTTACCTTACTTTTTAGATCGTTACTTTTCGAAATACTAATGTTTGACTGTATGTTCTTAAGGAAGTCGTCGTTTTTTTGTTTGTTATCGGTTTGTATACGACTTGTAGCATATATACGTTTCTTTTTTATTTTGCTAGTTTCCAAAAGATCTCCAAACATTAGCTTGCTATCTCTGTTCATTTTCTTAAACAGAACACCTAAATCGCTTTTGGATTCGGTAGACACTGGACGAAACAACACACGTACACTCTTCATGATGCATAGATATTTTTCAACACCTATAGGTATAATAATTATAAACTGTTAATCCTTAATAACTAATCCGGTAAAAATAAGCGTCAGGAATTTATATTCTTAATGCATGGTCGGACTGGCTCTTTAAAAGAAAATTGAGTTAATTCATTTTTTTTTTTTTTTAACGTTTAGTTGCCTTCAATTTTGGCCATATTTAGTCATACATTTATTTATTTATTTAGTACCTAACCTCAACAGAGTTGTTAAGTTTAATTCAATTAAAAATAAATTCCAAATTTTAAATGAATAGGTTAAATAGAATTTCCAGGGGAAATAAAAAAATTATGTAGTATACTTCAGTACTTGCGAGTGACTACTAGGACAGAGATGAGGTTCTAATTCCGGTGAGAATGTTGAAATTTAACTAAAACCATGATTGAAATATACAAGTTTGTTGCACATATGTATCCCCTCTTTATGGCAAATTATAATAATAATAAAAAGTCCTTATGAGGAATTTAAATATGTTTTCATAGTCCTTATCGCATTAGTAGATCAATCGGTAAACACATTAAAGTGTCTATGCGTAAGCTGGACAGAGGTAGAAATTACGGATTTTAAATCGCCTAATAATAATAATAGATTTGTCCATTCTGGATTTGAGAAACTCTTACTATTTCTTCGGAATTTTAATCATTCTGACGAAAGCAATTTAAACACAATCCAAATTATCAGAATAGAGAATCATAGATTGTACTTAGTAACGTTATTTAGTAGATATGAAAATACCAGTAAGATACTTACACAAAATTTAAATAATTATTGGGGAATAATTTTGACCACCGGAACTGAGTTGATTGAATTAATAATTTAAAAAAAAAAATTTCACATCCAGAAGGCTAATTAAATTAAAACGTATACTAAGCTAAATGGAAGGCATTCCTTGTTATTAATTTATTCAAGTCCGGTCTATGCAGAACAAATGTGAAAAATATACTCTGCGAATTATTATTATTTATCATATACTTCTGTCGTTACTTTTTAACATAAAAAACTTTGGAACTAAACAGTAAACTGCATTCAAATTTATTTGTAATTTGTATTGTAAACTACACGTGTCTAGTGTGATTTTCGCGCCCACAACAGTGAGCAGCTGTGATAAGAAACTGTGATAACAAGTTGGACAAATATTAGAAAATATTCGAACATTTAAGCGCTATGAAGGTTTGGTTTATAAACAAATAAAAAAAGGCCACATGAAAGAGATTTACAACGAAATTGTCAAATTGCGATTAAAAGTAAAGCGTATTTTACTGAACCAAACTTATGTTTAATTGAGATACATTTTTGAGAACTTTATATTATTAAATAACAAATTATTTATTATTTTTAAATTTGAATATTTTATTTTATAGCATTTCATGTAAGTAAATAAATTAACTAATTATTTACAGTTTCAATTATTTTTATTGTTCAAAATGAAATTTGTTGTAGACAAATATATATTTATTTGATTGTATGGTTTTAATAATTGTTTTTTACCTAATTATTATTTTAACTTGTATTTAAAGAAAAACAATATTGAAGTAAAAAAATGAAAAATGGATTTTTGTTGAAATTGTAAATAAAATTTTAAATGTTAAATATTATATTTTAAATTAACTTAAAAGATTTTATTTAAATATATTTTTACTTTTATAAATATTTGAATTTGTATTGTCCGGGTTTGCTCTTCCTTAAATAATAATTTGATAAAAATGTTCTTTATCGTGAAATGTAAAATTTTATTGGTAATGAATAGTAAAATAATATAAATGCAAAATGTCTTAAATTTTTTTTATATATTATGTAAAAATAAAACAATTACACCTTATTTTTTTTTAACAAATTTGTAGTCTTATCAAAAAAATATTTCCACAGCCACAGTTTGTAAGAACTAATGTATAAACCATTGATTATAACTATAGCAATATAGTATACGTATAATCAATGATGTTAACTAATATATATTAGTCTTTAAGCAGAGATCATTTAAAATAATAAATTTTTATTGATCAAATTAACGCTATTTTAGATACTCTAGTGGGAGGAAAAAATCAACACTGTATTTTTTATATATATATATAAAATATGTAAATATATTTGTATATAAAATATTTAACGTGAATGTGTCAAAAGTCATTACAAAGTCATAATCGTTATTTTAACGTAAGTTAGGTAAAAATCATTTATTTAGTTATGTTTTACAATCGATCGGATCGGCATCTGGCAACAATAATAAATAATACTGTAAATAATATTATAATAGTCTATAAAAAGGTAGTCTACTTGGAGTACATTTTAAGTACGTTTTAGAGTACTACTAAAAAGGTAGCAGCCTCGAAAATAAAATAATACTTTAAACAAAAAAAAGAATAAAAAGCTAATATTACAAGTGCGATTACGTACGGAAGTATAAATGCTCGAGCAAGGTTAGTACTGGCAAAAAATAATTTGATAATGTACATAACAAAAAGTATGTGAAACACATCTTATAAGTTTAAAATACAAATTATTTAAATATATGTATAACATAAAAATTAAAATGTTAATATCGCTTTTACTAATTATTGTGCTATCAACTTAAATGATTTGAATTTAAAGATTTTTTTTTAGTATTGTCTTAGTGTATAATATTTTTTTTAGTTTTTTTTTCTTTCGTTACAACGTTTAGTAATTGTATAAGTGCACTTGTTTTTAAAATTAAAAATATTTAACAGTAAAATTAATTTGCGTTTAAAAATTAATTTTAACTTCTATATAAAATTTGCATTTAGTTATAAAAATAATTTATCTTTTGCAATCACAGAAGTGACATGTACAAATAATTATACATTTTAAAAAAGTTAAAACAATTATAAATTAAAAACTATAATAATACTTTTAAACATGTAATAGTACAGTCTAGTGTTCATAAAAATATTTTTGTTAAAAAAATATAACATCTTCGCTTTTAGCGTTTTTCATCGCTTTTCGTTGTTCTTCAATTGCCTTTTTTCGAGCCGTGTCGTACTTAGAATTTGAAATTACTGGCTTTTTCACTTTCGTTTTTACTTTGACAACATTTATAGGTTTTACAATGTCTTCATCTTCAGGCCAACCCTTTTCACTGAGCTCTATAATTTTATTCATTTCTGTTTTTACCTGATCGATTTGGATTTTGACCATGTCCCAAAAACCCTCGAGATCATTGTCTTTAGGTCTTGAAACATCATCAAGCGCACACGATATATTGCTCTCACATAAACCCAGGAACTGTTTGATTTTCTGCGACATTAACAAATTTGATTTGCCAATGGCCGCTTGTATACGAGCTTGGCCGTATTCTGGAGCGATTGGTAATAAACAGTCTACTTGTAATATTAACTGTTTAATTAAGTCGCATTCTATATTCACTAAATTAATAAAGTAGTTGCCACCATAGACTACTTCGTTATCGATACTGTGTTGAATTACAGTGGGCTTTTGTTTCTTTGGCGACCCACATTTATTAATTGCTAATTTTGCCCGAAATTGAGGATTCAGAAGTTTCAACACAGGCAAATCAATATTTTCTGTTTGGCATACAACAGATGTTGGAATGTTATTTGATCTTATTTCTTTATTTGATATTTTTACAGTAGAACCATAAAGCCGTTGGATTGTATTAACAACAACCGAACTAGCTGATTCGTTTCTATAATCGACAGTGTCGGTTATCGTACATTTAGATACAAAGTTCTGTTCGTCCATATTGGTGTTGGCAGTGCGTAGGTTAATTGGACTACAGTCTCTCGAGCGGCTCTCTCTCTTTTTACTATCGTATTGTGTCAGTGAAGAAGTATAGCCATTTATGCACCTCGATATGTTTACATAAGACGGCGGTTTCACCTTGAACGATGGCTTTTTACCCGGTCGAATGGGATCGTCAATATAGCGGCTGTCGGTCGCTTCTCTGGTACTCATTACTGCAAGGTGACTCGATTGATAATTATTTGATCATCAGCTTCATAATTCCTGTTAAATGCACTTAATTAAAATATTATCTATATCTATTTTGTTAAGAATTTTTTTTAAATTTTGTTACTTTTTAATAATTAATATATAAACAAAGTATTCAAAAACAATGGTAACTACGGGATACTGATCAAACATTTTAGGAACAGTTGGACACTAAAACAATGTTGAAGTATTTGTGGGTCGTAACTATACATATAATTTATAATCAACAATATTAAATATTACTTTTTTTTTTTAAATTATTACTACACTTTTTTATTTGTTGTATTGTACCCAAAATATTAATAAAAACAATTTTCAAAAAAATGACAAAAAAAGGTCATAACTAATATCACATCAGATGTTTGAAAAATAGATACTTTTAAAAAACATTAAGCTGCAACTGTTCTATTTAGTTTATATTTTTACTTGAAAAAAAACAGCTATCGTTAGGATTATTAAAAACAGTAGACCTCCTGTGAGAAATATTAAAGGACACTAATATGACATAAACATTGACATTGAGCCAACAGACTGAGAAAAATAACGGGTTTTTATTTTTATTACTGGGCGTAAGGGCAGCTAATATGGTACATTTTTATAAAACGATTAAAAGGGGATATATTATTTAAAAAAAAACCAAGACACTATTGAATTTTCATAATTATCATTTGCTACGAGACAGGACAACACATTTTTGATCTGCAATATTTTACGGCATTCGGTGTTATCAATATCACATCTATGGCCACGGATCTAATAGTGATACTTATTTCGAAAATCATGTACTTTTAATAATATAAATTTAAATTTTTTGTTATGTAAAAACATAAACACCGATTTGTATGTCGAACAAAATGCCTACATCGTTTTGGTAACTGCGCCCACAGTTAAATACAAATGTTTTATAATTAAAATAAAGTAATATGCCTCCAGGCTAGGTATAGGTAATTCGAATTTCAAAACATTATTTAACATTAATATCAGTAAGGAAATTCTCGTAACGAGTTAACGGAACAAACTTTGACATAATTAAATCAAGCGAGGACACAACAGACGATTGTAAACAGAATGATATTGACCAACTTACCAGTAAAAGTGTCAATGCCCCACAGTATAATTTTGTTATACGTACACAGTGGGAATCTGTGGAGGAACAAACCCGGCGTTTCAATAAAACGTTTAAAAGGAAACTCGAAAACAAACACTACGTTGAGCAAATCTATTAAACTATGTCGGTATTGTTTAATTAAAATAATATATTATTATAATAGTAGCACCGTTTTGACGAAACGAACTACACTTAACACTTAAAATAGATTATGAAATTCCTATACATTTAAGCAGAATTGCTTTTTGGCCATCTCGATTGTCATTTCACATTGTAGGTTATGTTTTTATTGGTGTTTTCTTTTTTCCTCCAAGGAATTCCTCCATGACAAGAGAGACAGGTATACGCCGCCGACGTGTGATTGCCGCGGAAACCGGCAGAAAACCGGCGGCCATTTTTTGTAAGAAAAAAAAAACCCACAACACGAGTCCCCGGGCGTACCTGTCTGCTTTGCCGCGGTTACCACAACAGACGTTATCTGTTCTTATCAGAATCCGGAAGATAATAATATTATGTGATATCAATGTCCTGCTCGCAGTCTGCGCACGTGATGAACAGCCGCGATCTGAGGTGGTTTTCGACAGGTAAAAAATTACTAAACGAATTCATGGTATTCATATTCTTTCTCTGTCAATTATTCATGACGTACATGATCACGTCGTCGACCGCGGTTTCCGAGGAATTTTCCAAAATGAGCGTTAACGTCGCTTCGGCGGTGCACAAGAAAGCCAACGGGGCAAACAACTGGATGAAATTCACCAACAACACCACTCCATCGCCTGCCCTTCTCAACAAAACCGCCGTCCAGGTATGACAATAATATTTAACTTGGTACCTTAATATATTGCACGAGTCGTCCTTACAGCCTGATCGGTCACTTTGTTCTGGGCTTGGTTAGAAAATTAATACCGTGGACTACAAAGTCTAAGATCTTCTCTGAAATTGAATTCCATGGAAGTTCAGATGTTTTCAGCTATTTGAAATCTTGCGCATTCTGAATCTTTAATTCGCGCAGAATTTGCGATGTTAACATCATTTGTATTTATTGTGTAATTTGTTTAAAAGCAAAAAATTCTTGACATTGTTAAAAAACTGATGTTTTTATTTCTTTTTATAGAATCCGGAAAAGAAAGACATTGAGGTTGTGGCGATCGATTGTGAAATGGTCGGCATAAATCCTGACGGGCAAGGTAATATGTTGGCACGAGTTTCTATCGTCAACTCCAAAGGGGAAACCATCTATGACAAGTTTGTAAAACCTACACAAAATGTTACCGACTACCGTACCCCGGTTAGTGGTGTTCGACCAGAAGATATCGAGAATGGTGAAAATTTTATCAGAGTCAAAAAAGAAGTTACACAACTTCTGAAAAACAAATTGTTGGTTGGCCACGCTATAGGACACGATTTAAAGGTATTGAGGCTCACCCATCCTAAACACATGATCAGAGACACTTCGACTTATTGGAAGTTTAGACAGCTGACCGAAGGTCGCACCCCTGGATTAAAACGTCTCACGTTGCATTTTCTTGGTGCCAGTATACAGGATGGCGAACACAGTTCCGTGCAAGACGCTAAAGCAGCCTTACAATTGTACATGTTAGCCCGTAAAGATTGGGAGATTATCCTGAAAAAGAGGAGAAGTCGCCCAAGGAACGGAAATAAACCTCACGGCCAACAGCGTAGAAAATAGTAATAGTTGAATTAATTGGATTATTCGTTATTTTGCTAATTACGTTTAATAAGACTGCTACTATGTGTGGACAATGCCAATAAAGAATAAGAACATTTAAATTACATTGTACCGTTTGGTATTTCTGTCACAAACCCGATGAGAAACTATTTTTACTTCGTTCACTTTAAAATTTGTTTTTTTAAGTGATTTTCAATTAATACTGTGATTTATGTTAATCAATAACAGATATTTTGAAATGTTGTAAATTAAATTGTAATTTAATTTATTTGTAAATAAACAATGTTGGAGATTCTGGATTAATATTATTTACTATAGTTCATTTAATAACTACTAAATAGATATTGTAAAAATTAAAAAACTCACCAACTGATTTAGTATTGGTATATCCTTGTTTTTTTAGAAATTAATGTACAAATATTTTGTTTGTCAAACAATTTTAAGGAAAATCGTTGACCATATCACATGTATTAAAACAGCCGACTAATTGTTGGTGAAACAATTCTGTCTATTTTTGTTTTATCAATATTTTTAGTCCAAAAAGTATTAAGTAAACAAAATGTAAAATTATAATAAACATTTTTAAGTACAATATTGAAAGTGTGACCCCAAAACTTATAATTTAATTTTTTAAAAAGATAAAAATAAAAGACTATATTAATTTTTAAAATAAATATTATAACTTTATTTAAATTATCATTTTTCTCATCCAAGTCTGTATTTAATTCGTGTTAGGTAGTAGTTTTTCAAAATATTTTTGTAGGTTATTTTACATCATTCATTTTTAAATCGACCAGTCGACATTTTTAGTAGAATTATTCTCAACTTTTGAAGTTAAACATACATACGTTCTTTCTTTTTTTTTTTATTATAAAAATCTGTGGCAATGCTTTTTATTGACTAAACCCCAATAAATCAAATACACGATTATTAATAAATACATTTTTTACGAAAAGATTTGTATTTCATATTAATTGTTTTTAACATTCGGAGTTTTGCATCAGTGTTTATTTGAAACTTATTTTGACTATATCAATTTTATATATTATTAAATAATTACTATCAGTTAACATAATTATTTCATAATTCCCAAAAATGTGTAACCCTCCGTCCGTTATGTGTCCCGATCACATGTTGATTTTTTAAAGTTTTTATAAAAAAATATTTAAGATTTTAAATAAAATAAACTTATATGTAATTTTTTGGAAGACTTTTTTAATTGAATTGTAGGTGTTTTTGGTCATGTTGTGCTACATTGAAAACAAATTTTAAATAATAACAATGACAGCGTAACTGATTTAATGACTATATGAAAAATTATAATACAATATTTTGTTGTTTTCAAAATAAAAACACAAATATATAATTTTTAAATGAGTTAAACACACAAAGCTTAACTAATATTTAAAAAAAAAAGGACTTTTCTTAAATTATTTTGGTCCCAACATGTCTTCCGGTCGAACCCACTTGTCAAACTGTTCTTCGGTTAAGTATTCAAGTTTTAATGCTGCCTCTTTGAGAGTCGATCCGTCCTTGTGTGCGGTTTTGGCAATTTTAGCAGCCTAAACATAGTATATTATGTTATTCAAGTCATAATGGACATTTATCGTTTGATATAAGAAATTCAAACATAAACAAAAAAAATACTTGCCTTATCATAACCTATGTGTGGATTAAGTGCAGTGACCAACATGAGTGAGTTGTTTAGGAGATCCGAAATTCTCTCTTTGTTAGCTTCGATACCGACCACACAGTTATCAGTAAAAGAGACACAACTGTCGGCCAACAAACGAGCAGACCTCAATACGTTGGACACAATCAGCGGTTTGAATACATTCAACTCAAAGTGGCCGTTACTGCCTCCGACGGTCACAGCTACGTGATTGCCTATTACTTGAGCACAAACCATTGTTATGGCTTCGCATTGTGTAGGATTTACTTTGCCTTGATTAAAAAATTGTACAAATTAAAAATATGTTTTATAGATTATAGGTTTTAATTTTTTTTTTTTTTTACCCGGCATAATACTACTTCCGGGCTCGTTCTCTGGCAAGGATAATTCGCCAAGGCCGCTGCGTGGGCCAGACGCTAAAAATCTAATATCATTTGCAATCTTCATTAGACTGCAAGCTAGTACGTTCAGTGCACCCGACACTTCGACCATAGCGTCATGAGCAGCCAGAGATTCGAAGAAGTTTGGAGATTTTTTAAACGGCAAATTTGTCAGTTCACTGATTTTGACGGCACATTTTTCTGCAAATCCCACTCTTGTGTTTAAGCCCGTTCCAACGGCCGTACCGCCTAACGCCAACTCATACAGATGTGGTAGAGTGTTTTCGACTCGTTTAATACCATTCTGCAGTTGTTGTACGTAACCACTGAATTCTTGTTCCAACGTCAAAGGTGTGGCGTCCTATAATATACAAGTAGTAACATAATAGCGGAGAAAATATGTTCTTTTGACAAACAATATTTCTAAGTGTTTATGGCATGATAATGTCAAGTGTTAAGTTAAAGCAGCAAACTTTTCATAAATAATATTTAAACAATGATGTTTTTATTGCTATTTTTCTTAATACAATAATGCTTATCTTTAAAGAAATTAGATTTAGTGTGGATTAAATATCCTTATTAAGATAGATTAAGAATATTTAATTTATGGTTTTAAGTAAGACTTATTAAATTATAGATTCTTAATTATCTACTTATTAGTAGATAATTTTTATTAATTATTGATTTTTTTAATAATTGGGGTTTAAAGTTCATTTTTTTTAGTAATTAAGTGCATTTTATACATTATTTTAATTTTAAAAGCATTTTTCTTAGTTTGATAGAAAAATATGATTTTTTAAGACCTTTGGTAGTTTGGAATAATAACTATACAGGTTAACTAAAATCCAAAATACCTATAATAAGACTATGTTAGACTTTTTGACTTAGCACAAAAGATATGAATTGCTACCTTATTCATGAACTAATAGTTAAATTTGAATGAGTATAGTTTTTGCTTTTAAACTGAATATTGATTGCATGAATGTTCAAAAAAGGAACCTACAAAACGTTACCTACAAACTTACTTGTGTGTGAGTTCGTCCAATTTTAATTATGTTCGAAAACTCTTTAGCTTTCTTATCTAATGCACAATGTAGGTGTTTTAACGAAGGCAGTAATAAATTATTAAGCTCCAATGCGACAGCGATATGCATAGCGGTCGGAAATGTGTCGTTGGAACTCTGACTTTTATTTACATGGTCATTGGGATGAACCGGAGACTTTGATCCTAATACGCCACCCAAAATTTCAATAGCTCTGTTGCTTATCACCTAGGTGAAAAATAAACATCAAAAGATATACAATATGCTAAGTAATTAAAAAACAAAATTTAAATAAAATACTTCATTTGTATTCATGTTTGATTGAGTGCCAGAACCGGTTTGCCAAATAACTAATGGAAAATGACCCTCGTTGTAAAGTTTACCACTGATTACTTCATCGGCTGCTTGACTTATGGCATCCGCAATTTTGGCGTCTAAACCAAATTCTTTGTTCACTTCGGCTGCAGCTTTTTTCAGTATACCCATAGCGACAATCACAGGGTACTACACAAAAAAAACAAATTGTTAGGCACAGAACCCTTAAGGGTAGATTTAACGCCAATTTGACTTCTATGTCGATTAATGTTTCAGAGCAAATAATTCGTTCTGGAGCGTAATATAAATTATAAATTTAATATTTATTTTGTTCCAGAATGACAAAATGTTTGATTTTGGAACACCAAACAAGTACTTAAAATAGTCAAATAGGCTATAGTTCCGGAATTGACTCATGATCACAGCACAGAACTACATTGTTTAAGCAAAATTTACGGAATAATTTCACCATTATTTTATTGCTCAAATATATTCCATAATTTTGAATAATTTGTCTGGGAACTAGAAATACATTCATGCCAAATCTACTTACAGGCATTTGTTCTTTTTCGCCTCCAATACGGAAATTCATCGTAGACCTTACGGTTTGAGCACCGTAATAACGATCGTTCGGCACATCGAGTTCGCCAAACGTGTCCGATTCTTTGCGAATGCCGACTTCGGTGTTGGACGCCTGAAAAACAATTAGGAAAATATTTCAATTTGCACTATTGCAAACTTGTTTCCGAGTTACTTACCATACTTCTTATTGGAAACTTCAATTTTACAGAATTATTATTGTACTTAACGACGGTGGTCATTAAGGCCGGTTTGAACTGAAGCGTTCTGTACAACTGACACGCCCTCATGTTTCCGTTGATTATTAGGTACTTTCACTAATCGGAAATTTAGTATTTACTAATCCGTGTAGCGATGATAATATAATAATGGTATTTTGTATTATTATAAATGGAAAAACGGAAGGAAAAAAATGATATGAAAATAAAAAATTGTGCAACGGCCGCTGTGTTATCACATTTGATCAGCTGTTCGAAAATTGGTACACCGCCAGTTGATAACAGCTGCTATAGTATGCGTTACCACCGTACGGTTACCGCGACCGTGGTCGTGTTCTCGCTTGTTTTGTCTGTGAGGGGCCGTAACTTGAAAAAACGATTTTTATTTTTTACACACGAGAAGACGAAAAAAAGGTAAAATTTCCAATTATAATACTTTACAAATTAGAGTAAGTCAATTCTTTGTTTCACAAATTTTGTTTTACAAACTCAAGTGTTGGCCGGCAGCGAAACGCCGGTATTTTTTACTGTGTAGTGTAGTAGCTTTTTGTCTGTTGTAGCAATTAATAATCTAGAAACAATAAAAATTAATAGTAGAATTTTTATATTTTAGATAGACAAACAATGAAGCCCAGAGATCTGTGCGATATTGACGACTTAGCGACATCATTGGTCGTTGATGTTTATCTTGGATTCGTCACTCACAAAATGGACTTGAATTTTAAAGAAATGTACAAGAGTAAGTCGCGTCTAAAACCAGTAATTGACAATTTCATACAAAACCAAGACGTGAAAAAAGCCTTCGAGTCGTTATGGAACAAAGATTATATACCCGCTTCGTTGTACAAAGAATCGTGTAAAAAAATGGTTAAAGATCATTTAGAAAGATATATTGGAATGTTTTATTCAGATTCCGGCTTTCGAATCGAACCTTGCCATAGATACTCGTTGGAAAACAAAGTTGGCGCTAAGGTCTGTGCGACCAAACATTGGGACAAAGATGATGTTATTAAAAGGTTAGTGGGTTGCGTGGCCGAGCTCACTGAACAAGAAGAAGACGATATTTTGCAAGTCGGCAAAAATGATTTTTCTGTCATGTTTAGCTGTCGTAAAAAGTGTGCTCAGCTTTGGTTAGGGCCGGCGGCATATATTAACCACGACTGTCGAGCGAACTGTAGATTTGTTGCCAACGACAAAGGCACGGCCTGTGTTAAAGTCTTAAAAGATATAAAACCTGGTGAAGAAATCACATGTTTCTATAGTGCAAATTTTTTCGGTGAAAATAACGCCAATTGCGAATGTGTTTCTTGCGAAAAATTGTTCAAAGGAGCGTTCAAAAATATCAAACAACACATAAGGACGGGCCGGTACAATTTCAGACAAACTAACGATCGAATCAAGCAAACGTATCGGTCACCAGAGAAAGAAAAAGTGATCAAGGAACCGAAGACTCCAAAGAAAAAGAAAGACAAAGTCTTGGATCCGGTGACGCCTGAAAAACAACCTGAAGTCGATAGAGGCGAAGATCTACTCGGATCCCCATACACTAAAATTATTCAAAAGACTAGAGGCTTAGATTTATTATCTAAAACGCCAGAAAAATAATTTTGTTTTTTATTTTACAACGTAATGTATAACACTGCCAAATATTGTTCAATCTAATGTATATTGTATAGAAAAATTATATTTGTATCCCAAAGGCAATTTTTGTGGTAAAATCGGAACAGCCATCATTAGGTTTTACTCTTGATTTTTGGTAAACATAAAAATATATTTTCAGCGATTGAAAACTTTAACAAACATACACGGGAACCTAACGACGGTTGTTGTATTCCTCGTGTAAATTTGGTAAAGTTTTCAATCCCAAATAGAAAATATATTATAGTAAAAAATGTTTGGCTGTTTCGATATCAGCACTGTCATCTCAAGGGTACGTTATTTACTTGTCTACTTCATACACGATGATTATACTTAACAGTATTTTTGACCCGTATTTTAATACAAAGACTTATTTTTGTTTTTAGAAATTAGATAATTACTAGTAAAATTAATTTTGGAGTTATTTTTTTTAATTCAAAATGCGCAATGTTGTTTTTTTTTAATAGTGTCATGATATTTTCTCATAGTATTACAAACGTTTAATAATAATAAATGTTTTTTTTTTTTAATTTTAAATTTATACTTTATTACAAATTAATGTTTTTAAATAAGGTAAACAAAATGTGTGCACATAAAACAAATATGTAGTCTATTGGTATTTATATCGAATATAGGTTTATTGTCTGACTCTTTTTTCACCTAATATTGGTGTTGTTACTTTAATATTTTATAGAACACATCTTTCGCAAATAAAATATGTATAATATTTATCTATAAATTTAGTTTACACAAATCGACTGTTGGGCCATTATAAAAAAAATATTTGTGCATTATTCTAAACCAACACTAATCGCTAGTTATGTTTTAGTTTAAGTGTTGTTGTATAATTAGTTTGATCTTTTTTTTTCTATTAACAATCAACATTCAACTTGTCTTTAAGTCTGGCGGTACATTTAGAATTTCTGAAGCCTACGACGTTCAAGTTACATTTTGAATGGCTCAAACAAATCAAATTAGTCTTAATCAATCACCATTTAATATGATATTACTTTGAGAAGAAGTCTTCGGGTTGTTTGTTTATTTCAGTAATTACATTGATCAAACATTTATTTTAAAAACTATAGTACATGTATATGATTATAAATATCAAAAAAATAAAAGCACAAAAGTTTTTAATTATTAACAATTTATTTTTGAAAATGGGGGGAGGGGTGGAATGCCACAAACGGTAATTTTAAGTAAAGCAATATGTTTAAAAAATGTTTACATTATTCATGCAATTACTTTTAATAACACTAAAGTCGGTAAGTCTAAATTAAGATTTTTCAAAAATTGCCTATACTTTACTCCTTAATAAATGAATGGTGTAGCGTCCTCTACTAAGTTCTTAAGAATACTCAAATATTTCTAAAATCGTACTGTTCAAAGTAGAAGCGTATTATGTTTTTGTAAATACGAATAGAGCCTATATGCGTTATTAAAGTTGAGAAAAAAAATCAAAACAGACACCGATTTCTAGTGTTAATATAATATACAGGTAAGTAGGTAACGTGTTTACATTTTATCTGAATTGTTTGGTTTTAGTGGAAAATACTGTCTATACAATGCGCCCTAATAAACGTTAGTGTAGCGGAGCAGTGACGGTTCTAGCGTACGGGTAGGCTGGGCAGCTGCCCGTATCAAAATTTTGAACGAATTATAAAAATATAGTTTATATTACCTATAATTTATTATAACATTATATGTTTAACTACATTTTGCATAAAAAACAAAGAAATTGCCCGTACGAAATTTGAGTCCTAGAACCGCCCCTGTAGCGGAGGCCGCCCTTTTAGTATTATATTCGAAAAGTATTCGACAGTGTATATATAATTTAGTATGTAGTTATTACTTATTGATGTATTTTTACAACTTTGAACAATAATATATATTAATATCAAATTGGCATATCGCCATACCACAGAGTGGAGTAAATCAGAGCGGACACTTTACCCATTGGTTTCACTTATCACTTTCATTTAATCCGTGGCCATACCGATCACCAACCGGCTCGGATTTCGGATGATAAGAAAAAACCACGGACCTACAAAGATATTTCTTTATAGGTCTATGGAAAAAACCTTATCAGTTATCACAACAAATTGTAATATAAACTATTATTGTTTTTTTTTCTTCCACGGCCGAGACAGACATGCGCGCGTTTTTCCACAGCCCAATAATTTCTACGGGTCGATACAGATGCGCACCGTCCGTGTGCCTGGAGTCTGGACCTGCTAAGTTCAAACGCCTTACCGACGCTTTTATACACGCTGTAACCGCCGTACCCACCAAACTCCCAGAATATTATACATCCGATATTTGATCGGATTCGATCTATTGACTAACTATTTGTTTTTTATTTAAAAAAAATCATGGCCTCGTCGTCGAACAACGATCAGCAGCATTATAGCCTGGAGACGGAAATTGATGCGTGCACACTGGCGTCGAGTCGGAACCCGCTGTTGTGTTTTTTGTGCGAAGACTACTACAGCGACCCGGTAATATTGATATGCTTTCATTCTTTTTGCGCGAAATGCATCAAAGGCCGAAACCAGGAACACAAAATAAGCTGTCCGCTATGCGGGTAAGAGAATTTGTCATATTTTATTATTAAAAAACAAAACCAGTAAAATGTACCCACGATGGTAAAAAATTAATCAACGCGTGCCTGTAAGACGTATAAATTAAATTATAAACAATACAGAAATCGCGTTATGTTAATTTTTTTAATTAGTACTTACCTGTCAAAATAATTCATTAAAAGTTGAGCTCCACAACGTTGCTATTGTACATTTGTACTGATAGAAGGGGAAACATAATGAGATATTAAAAAAAAAAAACTACAAAATTACTCTTATTTTGGCGTCTCATGTACGTCCAGAGTTGTGGAAATTCTTATTTGAATAATTTTTCCACGATTTATTCGAAAAAAAAATTTGTTTTCCTATGGATACTGGGTTTATATAATTTGTAATACATATTCTAATATATTTTGCTATAAAAATATCATACATTAAATTTTATGTAACGTTTTTAGGCTATACTTTTAAGAGGACGTGATACCCCATATTTTTTAAGGAGTTAGGTGTAGGCAATTTTTTTGCAACATCCTAATTTAAAGCTTAAACTATAATGTTAAAAATTTTAAAGGTGTTGGTTAAAAGTTTGGTTTGCTGTTTGGGTTCGATCACTAAAAATCAATTTTAACTATTGGTAAACTACTGTTAAGATATTTGACTTTGGCTATTTTTTAATTGCAATTTATTAGATAGTTGAATAATTAAAAAACGAAATTTCAAGATCCTAGCGCGCTTTTTTTTTTTTTTGCACAGTTACTTTTTATAGAAAATTTTAATTAAGAAATACTGGAACTATGAGAGGTTTTCTCGAAAATAATTTATTTTATGGGGAAATCAATAAAATCATTTTTTTAATATATTTTAAAAAATCATTATAGGCAAATTACTGTCCAAATACCCTTGGGAAAATTAAAATATATTATAAGTACTTATAGGAATATTTTTGTCAAATAATTCCTACACAAAAGGTATTTAATATATAGGTGTACTTACTGTGCTCAAGTTAAAAAAAAACACATAATTGATTTACTAACCATATTTAGTATAACATTCCTTTTTGTTTTAAATATTTTCATTGTATGCACATATTTATGTAAATATATATAAGAGTGTAAAACTAAAGTAATAATTAATTTGTTTCGAGTTTAATACTGTCTACAAACTTTTGTTTTCACAAGTTTCAAATGGCATTTCCCTACTGATAACGTGTTAACTATTCGTATTTTAAAATTACAGCAGCTGCTGGTTTAAAGCTGTAATATTTATATTGTCCGTGTATGTAATTTAGAACCCAGACTGCATTAAAAGAAGGCGTTCAGTTGCCACCGCCGGATCATTTGATGGTGAAACTTATCGAAATGGTTAACGTGGAGAATCCACCTTGTGCTAATTGCGACAAACGCGATCCATCTTCAATGTACTTCTGCTCTACTTGTGGTAAGTTACAAAACAGTATGCAAATAAAAAGTAAATAATAACTATTAGTTTTTGGTTAAGTATTCAACACTTAAAGTATTTAAGTAGAACTTTTATGACGGCTTACATAATAATTTTGATTATATTATACAAACTGTTCAATGTTATTTAAATCTAACATTCGTATTGTAGTCATGTCATTTAAAAGAAAAATATATTTATGTGTATGAGAAGTAGGAAATAAATAAGAATAGTTGAAGGAGTTTTTGAATAAAAATAGCTTGAGCGGGTAAGAAATAGAAAAATGTCAAGTTAAAATTTTGTTATTAGAAGGCTTCGAACGGAAATAGGGAACCTGTTGTGTGGTAAACGGAGTAGAGAAATTTGAGTATTTAGGATCTGTTTTGCGAGAGAATGGTGGAATCTAAGGCGATACGGTAGGTAAGTGTGGTTGGATGACGTAGACAGAGTCAGCAGAGGTCATGCTATCTAACATGGGTTATAATATAATTAACTGATAGTAATAACATGATTAAAGTTGCCGTTATTGTGTTTTTGTTGTAAGGCCAAGCACTGTGCAAGCCGTGCCGAGAAAACACTCATCGGGCGAAAATGTTTTCAACCCACGATATCGTCCAAATGACTAAACGCCTAGCAGACAAAACCGAAATAGTAAAACATAATATTATTACTACACAAAAATGAACACCGTTTAATTTGTATTCTTTTAGTGTCCGAAGCACGACGAAAGGATTAATTATTTTTCAAACACTCAAAGGCACGTGATATGCACAAGCTGTGTACGAGAAAAGCCGTTAGAGAGTCGCAAAGCTTGCATGGACATTGACGAAGCGTACAGTCAAAACCTGAAGAAACTGGACAGAGCCTTGTTGGTATGTCTTTGTGCAAGCACAACGATAAGTCCGTTAAATGGACAACACCAATAATACAGCCTAATCATATTTTAGTCCGTGTACGATATGCAAAGCTCGATTCGCGAAGGCGTGGTCGCTTGTCACACACTTTTAGAAGAACTTAGGCAAAATACAGACACAGAAAAAATGACCATACACAATTTCGTGCAAACCCTACACGAAGCGATTAATAAAATACAAACGGACATGCATTTGGAAGTTCAGCGGTAAGTGCGCATTTTTAGAATATTATTATAACAACCGGGCATGGTCATGTCTTCTTGACTCTCGAACGACCTTCTGAATTCAGTTTCCAAATCCGTATTAGTGAAAATACTAAAGAATTTGCTGCAGCACAGATATATTGCCGCGACTTTATCATTTAAGAGGAAGTGTGAAAAGATATATATTTTTGTTTTAAAATTTGAATGCCAAACGGCTTACAGTTAAAACAACACAATAATAATTTTAATTTTTTAATAAAAATGTTTATAAAACAAGAAAAAATACGCGTAATAAAGAACACAGAAATGATCTACATACCTATTAAAAAAAAACACTGCTGTATTGCATTATCCTAGATAAAGGTGCATTATTTGCAAAATTAGTTGAAATTGATCAAGGACGCAACACCACCTATTTATTAAGAAGTAAAGCCTCGTTGACAAGAGTTGCTAACCTATCCTAATATGTTTTCATCTCTAAATATCCAAAATAGAAGCATTTCGACATGCAGGTCAGCTGACTATCTAAACATTCCGCACTTACGAGGAACACATAGGGAGAATTCTACTTCGTACTGAGTGTAAGCAAACCACTTATTTAATTTGTGTAGTCAGTAGTTTTAGCGGACAAGAGTAGACGTTGACAAACGAAAACAGCTATAGATATATTGGACATATTAAAGTAACAAAATAGATTAGTTTTAGATAGTTACGGAGTGCCTGTGTTATGATCAAAATAATCATGGAAGTATAACGGTTCAGTAAATGTTAAGATTTATAGGTAGCTTACTATTCTACTAGGTGAAATGAAATCACGAGCACGTTTATTAGATGTATAGTTGAAGAACTCCAGCAATATCAAGAACTAATTTGAATACAAAGGACTAATTTGGCAGGGTTTGCGAAAGAATAAGCAGTAAAATTGTTAAAGAAATAGAAAATTTTGGATTAAACGGAGTAGAAAGAAGCACAAGTATAAAAATAATAATATAATAAAAGGGCAGAAGGTATTGATCTATATGCTAGGCTGGACAAAAGATATATCTACTTTGGTTGTCGTACCAAAAACAATGTAAAATATTGTACAATAGTATTATATTTATATTATTATTAAGGAAATATTTTACACTAAAATTTGAGTGTTTCTTTTTAGATTTTCTGGATTTTTTAAAATTGTTTTCATTTGGAAGTAAAACTCACAAAACAAAAATGAAAAAAATCCTTTTGCTTAAAAAAAACATAAAATTCTACATAGACATTGGAATTCGCTTTGAACTCGGCAAGGAAAAAGTATTAAAAAATAATAAAATTAATAAAACGTTCATATCACGCTGAAAATGATGTAAAATGCTGTTTTATTTACATCTTTGGAAACGATCTTAAAAATTAACTATACCTATCTGTGTCAAAATTCAGATTCGGATAAAGTGCATGTATACTAATATCAGTCGCGCCCCACTGTACATTAAAACCCTAAAAATATGCCAGCCTTGTTAACTATACCGTCATTTTCTACTACAAAATACAATTAAAAGGTGAATTAATTAATACCTGCGAATTATTTAAGTCGTTTAACTATTGTATTTCAAAACTTAACCCATCCTTTATTATACTACCAATCGAACACAATACCCATGTATTTCCGTTTGTTTTTTCAGACAATATGAAATAAAAGAAAGGGCTTTTCGCAATCAGCTGTTGACATTGAGCGCAGTACTTCCAATTTTGCAACATCACATTCTCCTATGCAGAAACTTTGTGTCGAGTTCAAATAAATATTATTTTCTCGAAATCGTGTACCTGATGCTCGACCGTTTGAACACTATTGTGAAGATACCACAGCCAACAAAGTAAGAATCGTGCTTGGCATCTGCTGAAATGTAATAAATTGGAAAAAAAACCCTTACCCGAGTATGCGTTTTATTTGTTTAGGCCATTGTTGACCAGTACTATTAAGACCAATTACCGTTCGGAGTTTGCCCAGTGCTTAGAACCTTGGTTTGGCCGAATAGATACTATGGATTCTGGAATCTACGAGTCGTCGAGGAACTTGAGTAGCTTGACTGCTAAGTCGAAAGAAAATTTGAGCTTATCTCAGTCCTCGTTTCCATCCAAAAAACAACATTCCGCGTTGAAAGCCAAAGCGTTGGAAGGCGAAGGTCCTTTCTCGAACCACTGTAGAAGTTTCGATTCGCAAATCAAGGTGATTTTCATCCTCGACAATGTCTAGTAGCTAAATCGTTTTTGTTTATAGAAAAATGCAAGTGTCAGGCGTGAGCTTACATACAAATTGTATTATTATTCTTCAGGAACTGGGAACGCAATTGAGCTGCGTCAAAGACCGTCTGAACGAGCTGCAGAGGGAAGTGCGAGCCCTCCAAGGTACCAAGTCACCGGCCGTACCGCCTTTGATTCTGCGCCATCAAAATATAATCAGAGATTGCCTGCGCTTAAACGATACCTTGGAACGAAATCGCGTGGAACTAGAACGGTTGCGATCTGTGTTCCAGACAATTTGGCAAGAACAGTTGTACAGGATCCACGTGGAACAAGATATCTTCCATTCCCAAGTGAGTATTTAAGGACAACATAATGAACACCAAGACGTCTAATGTAAACATTTTGTCAACGTGTTGCTATAGATGTCCGATATAGTAAGCTTGCAAAGCGAAGTCAAACAATTAGCGACGCTTGCACAACAGTTGGATCCATACGTAAAGCGATTGACGGCTAAACCGAACAATAACGAAATGTCGGATTTGAAAAATTTGTTGGATCGATTGAGTTCCCTGCAACAGTCGCAAAGGTAATTTTTGTCCTCTGTCTCCGCCGATCATAGTTTTTAACATGCTAATGTAAAAACAGCTTAAACAAGCTGCGGTTAACTAAGAAAATTCGTAGGATTTTCTGCGAGACTATTTTTGTCATCTACGATTGGATCTTTGACTTACATAAAGGCATTAGTGCGAAATAGTATTTGTTCGTCATTACTAATCTAGGTTTTATTCCCGCATGTCTATTAGCGCATCACGTTTACCCGTAGGTATTAAAAATTGAAATTCGTCACTTGAAATGAATTACATGAAACTGCTTTGTCCCACCGCGATTATGTCTTGAAATCGGCATGTAATTCGTTTTGTTCTCATTTATTGATATACCAATTTTTTCCATCATATTGTTTGTAGTATTCTTTAGGTATTTTTTCTCTATTCTTCCTAATTTTTGCTTCTACACACACAGTCTTCATAACTGCCACAACGAATGGTCATCTCTCACCTGACTTTGATACTTCGTACACGTGCTCGAACAATTCGAATACAATACAATCTAACATGGGATATTTTAATACTAGATTTTCGATGGGATGTCACAAAATAGAGTCGCATTGTATGAGCAGCTCGTCGCCGTTGTCCGAAGCTTTTTATGCTAAAGACGCTCGTCCGGACACTCCAGTCAGGGAAAAAGATCAACAAATTGTCTACATTCAGAAAATGCAATCGACTAAAAGCGTACTGTCTCACATCGTGGACAAAGTATGCGTCCGGGACAAAACGTTCCAGGAATTCAGGGAAAGGAGCAAGTCCGAAGGGCGTATAAAAGATTGTCCGACAAGACCGAAATCCAAAAGCGGTAAATACATAATATAATTGCATAATTCCAAAACATTATGTTTCGACGACCAAGTATAATTATTACTTTGTTTACACCAGTCGGACCGGAATGTGTAAAGAACACAAGAGCATGTTCCTTGTACCAGATGGTAGATATCAGGGACATACGGAATTTAGCAGCTCAGTCCACTTCTAATATCCACGAAAAGGTGCCGATATAATTAGGCACAATCCAATGGAAGGGTATACTTAATATGTTTCGTTAATTTTTAGGATCTCAACATGGAAATGTGTGAAAAACTAAGAGAGTATATGAAAGAGCACCTGAAGAAAAAAGTGAACATTGAAATGTTTGATGACGGTAATTGTTATGAACTACCTAATTAACTAATTATTGATGTATGATTTTTATTTGCAATGAAAAACCGCCTTTGTTTTGTTTCAAGGGTTTTGCCGGGAAGATAGCAAACAGTTTGAATACGACGAAGGGATACTGGGAGAAGTTGAGACCGTTAGCTGTGATGGATCAAAAATGTATAAACCCCAAACGGTTAAGGTACACAAGAAGAAGTCATCGTCCGTCCAAGAGCCTGCAATCGTACCAGTAGCTGCTCCTAGAAAATATAAGCGGTATCCGCATTCAGATACTGAAGACGGTGCAATGGCCTCGGTGTGTCAAGAATCTATAACGTTCAGGTAACCGCCACAATGCCACAATTATTATTTAATGGTGGAACCAACGCTATTCAATTTTAAAATGTTTTTAAAACTTTGGATATTTATCATAAACATTGAAATAAGTATACTAAGATAAGTTTTCATTCCAATCTCGTTTGTCAACTTGACACTTTATCTCTGAAGCCCATAAAAAAAAATTGGTTTAGAGTTGAGACCGATCTTGTTTTAGTCTATGCTAGATTCCTTGCCTCGAGGCGTTTGATTGTGCTGAAATCACGTTCAGATTTTAAAATTTATTGCTTTGACCCAACTTTGCCGACTTCTTTTTTATACTCATTTTTACTTTAAGGTGTTTTATTGGCTCAATAAAAATTGCCCATTCCTAGAACATTCACTATTGTTCCAGGCGAATCTCCACTCCCGACGATAAGACAGCACGTACGTCCAACTCCGTTCGCTGTCGTTCCAAGAAAACCGGTCCGGTGCGCAAACAAAGGTCGTGGGAGACATTTCCAACTAGAAAGAAATCAGCGACTCCTGAGCCGAGCAAATTCTGCCACGATCCGGAATCGTTTCGCAGTCAATTCGACGTAAGCAATTTCCAAGACGGACTGAGGAAAGCCGACAGTTTCGAAGGGCACGAAGAAGCCGTTAGTTCCCTCGTCAGGGAATGTCAAAAAGTCCGGACGCTGGATAAAAAGTCAAAAAAGACAGATCAGGTGTAGAGCCGCGCCGTTTTAATTAAACTATAATCCTTATTTATGGGTAGTTACAGGTTAGGTTGGATTGGGTCATAAATCCCTTCAATATTAGTCCAGTTATGTAAAATAATAATCTAAGAACAAAATCATTTTTTAATGCTGTTTGTCAACAAACGTCAGACCTTAAAGGCAATTTGAACTTACGAGTGATGGCATACTTGCACTGCGTGTACATTATTTGCACAATATGAAGTAAACTTGATTTTTTGTTAAAACCGTCCACGAACACCGTCCGTCGTGATATTTTGTTATCTTTTTTGTTGTTGTAAAAAAAAAAATGTATAACCTATGTAAGATAGCGCATAGAACGTGTAAGCTGCAATTCGTCAAAAACGCTATAAGTTAATTCCAAGGTGATTCAAATTTCGTACTAGGGATCTACACCAACCGGATTCCTATCCAGTAATAATTGCACTCTTCTCCCTTATTCTTTTTCGTCTTATCTCACAAAAACGGATCCTATTTCTATTGGGTCGGTTAGCCCAATCTGTTTCATCTAAGGTCCACCCACTTCTCAATCGGTCCACTTATGTCCCACTACCGTGATCTCTCTAATTTGTTTTACTAACCCACTCATTTTTTCTGTTATTGACGCAGTTCCCAAATTTCCTCAATTATACTCATTCCTTATTCTGTCATTCATTTTTTCTCTGCTCTATTTAATCATAACCGGTTTTCTACTTCTTACTAAACTCTAAGTATTCCACTTCCAAGTATTTATTCTGCAGCCATTTTCCTCCAACTACTGTTTCAGTTACTCCTATGTATTTCCTAATGCTTCGGTACTCTCATGCACATGCCTAATACTTGAAATCACTTCGGAATTTTCTTTATCGCGAGTTTGACTAATTTCTAGTATTCATCGTTGGGTTCATTTTAATTCATCGCAATAACAAACGCTAACCGAACATAGGCAGTAAACTAGAATTAAAATAACTTTACCTTGTTTTTTTTTTATTAGTATATATGAATCTTAAATAAGTTGATTTTTGTATTTATAACTACCTTTTTGACAATGTGATCGAGTGTGATTTTCCAATGAAATATATCGTGTTGAATCAAACTATTTGTTTTGGTATTCCAGTATTGCACAATAGCAAATCACTAAATTGTATAAGAATTTTGCGTGTCTGTCCTTAATGTATGAGTGGTAAAACATATCATATTTTATGCTCCTTAAAATAATATGGTATTGGCAGCAAAACATACAGCAATTTGTTATCAAATTATTGCTGGCTAACTTCATACTGATAATAACAACTCATAATTTTCTTTTTTTAAAAGTACAACAGCATAATATCATTGTATTTAAACGAGTATGAAGTGTTAGTTTTACTTTTAACAAAGCGACAAACACACGGTTTTAGTTACATCCACGATTCGTGTAGTTAAACGTAAAATATAAACACATATTAATATTATTACTTATGGTTTGGATTTCTTAAGAATTGTGTCTGTAGGTATTTCAGTTTAAATATAATTTGGCAGTTCTAGTGACAATTTTCTATAATGGCAATATGAGTTACCGATTGTTCTTTTGCACCACTTATCTATTTTTATTTTTTAACCTATATTTTTTTTACCAATAAAAGATTGATGTCTTAATGTAAAAAATCGAAGCATTTTAATTGCCTTGAAATACATATGTGTATCCGAACACAACTTATTACTGATTTTTCAGTTTTGTTGTTATTGTAGGTATGTATACAAATACTCATGATATAGTTTTTGGTATGAAACCTGAATCAACAACTAGTAATTTCTAGTTGAAAAAAAAAAATAATTTATAAAATCGTGTCTGGCCAAAAGACACTATACTATTACTTTGGCTATACTATTAAATATTTACTGGTTAATAGTTTTATCCTTAAGGGGATTAAATCGCATAACAGACTTGTTCATTGACATATTTGCACCTACTAGGTTGGTTTTTAAAAGGTCATAACAGTTCATGGCGAAAATAAATTATGATCAATAATTGACCCTACAGCTACACTAGAAATTTAAGTAGGCTTAACCTATAGTTTAAGTATCGTCAAAACAAATGTTAGGCTAATTATCATGTAGACGAAAACATCCTTTGTATTGTGTGTGTAAAAAAATTAACACACAGCCTCGTGAAAATAAAATATTTAAAGTTCATTTGCCAACAAATACTGTGTCTGACCTCTTTTGATCCGAGGTGAGTTTTCCTATTTAGATTAGGTTAGCTTAGCGTTTAACTGGGATGGTATCACTTTCAAGTCTATTAATTGCCTCCAAATTTGATAACTTCTCACTGTACTGGGTTTAAACTGTGCTTGGTTTTTTATCTGTTTAGTTACTTAAAACATGCAATCAGTTTAAATATATATTTAAAAGTATAATATACCTACAGTTCGGTTCATACTAAACCTAACCTAATTTAGTCTACAATATGTTGACAACACCGTGTTGTATATATTTTATTATCATACTTCTAACGTTATTATAGTTCTCTAGTTGAAATGTGCTGTGTTAGTTACAGTTTTAACGAAACGACCGTCCTGTCGCACGTAAAAATCGAATTTGATGAAATTGACAAATGTCACTACGAAAGTCATTTAGACGTGGAGGAAACTCGGTGGTGGAATGATAGAAACCCCGACGACAGTACTGTTAAAGTACGGTCGTTTGTTTGTAACCCGTGCAACATTTCATTTGCCACCAAAAGCCAAATCATCAATCACTTATCAGAGTCCCACGAATGCAATTTAAACGTCGGACATGGCAAACAGAAAAACGCAATTGAAAATTCTCACAGGTTTGTTTTAAACGTATAGTCTACTATGCTTTAAGTGTTAAAGATGCATTGTGTATTTTTCATTATACGAGAGGAGTTAGGAGTGTTAGAATTAAAAATAATTTCAATATTATTGAAGTACATGGAGTGCTCCTCCGTTATGAAGTGCTTGTAAAACTGGGTGCCGTTATTTAGAAATAAGTAATGACTTTAATATAATGTTAACGGAATGGAAAGAAAAAAGATGACATCGGTTATGAAAGAGAAGAGCGTAGGAATGCGATAAAGTAGTCAAAGGTGATGCTTAGACCTTTTAGAAATTTCTACGATTGAGTCGATTATAAGGAGCCGTATCTAATCTTAAGACAGAACATAGTGTGTTCCTAAGATATGCGGCTTATTCTGAAATTTCCTTGTCCGTCGCATGACTTTATTGTCCGATTCTTTTAAAACTCTTAAAACTGCCCATTCTGTAGCATTCCCATAACGTTTACTCCTCTGTAATTTAATTTCCTAATAAATTGATTCATCTATTAACTACCTTAAAAATGAGCCTACCAATGTTATCTTTCGTCGTTTACTTGTAATTATTGGCGTCCATGATACCCTAAGGAGACTCGACGATCAAGTTTACTGTGCTCTTGATTGAGAGCACAGTAAACTAACTTCTTATTTCCCATGTTCCATATGGGTATCTCGTGGAAAAATGAGATCCTACCTGCACATTACAGGTACGAGAACTCGTAGCTTATAACACTTTGACGGTTAACCGAATAGGATGCTGTTTGGGAAAACACTATAGGCCTTCCAAGTGTAATTGGACGATTTCGTATGATTGTATTAATTTCCTGTATTGTAGTTTAATCGTTGGCTTGACTAGGTCAATCATTGTACTACATTGTTTTGTTGTAGTGTTGTAGTAAGAAATCTGTGTAAGGAGCAAAACGGTTCGAAATAAACTGTTATAACTGTCTGTTATATATTATACGCGATGTTATTGTTATTTTAGGCGTTAGAAAATAAATCTAAATGCGGTTGATTATTATGAGGAGGTGCTACTTTTTGTTTGGAACGCAAGAGAAAACCAACCACCATATATTATGTATAGCGTATACGTTACACAATCAACCACGCGTAAGTCGTTGACATCCAACATTTAAATAGTTTGAATACAAAAATGCCTTATTTTTTTCAATGGGTCCAAGTTCTGGAATTCTGTAATTTTTAAGTTATTATCTCTATCGCAGGCAAAGGCGAGCATTGATACTTTTTTTGATACAGCTATAAGATAAACGATACACGGACCGGGTTATGACTGTTTGAGATGCTTTATTTTCAGTTTAACGCAGACGTTAATTTCTAGGGAAATTATTGCATTTTTGTAGTTTTTATTAACGAATAATTAAATAGTTGAATGATTGTTTTTAGATCTATATTAGCGTTAGAACTTAGATTTAGACTTAGACTTAGACAGGAAGGGTGGTAGTGCGGTGTAGTATTATTTTAATATTCGTGCTTCAACCACTCTACCAATCTCGTCTAAATTTTCAACATTAATATAACTTGGATATGGAACCAATGTAAAAGGGATGTAAAATCGATAACATTAATAATAATAATATTAATACTATCGATAATAATTATTGATAACTGATAAGAGAGAAGATTTATCACTAAAAAAATATTCATATATTATTGTTTTTAGCTTTACCTAAAATGACTAAATAAGAAAACGGTATCCGTGTAAACCATCGCCGAGACCAACAGACACTGATCGAAAGCAAAGGCTAACAGCACACAGATGTGTATTGTACATACAAAGGCGTAGGCACACTATTCACTATGACAAAATCATATCTACAATAAATCATTCTCCGAAGCCGTTATACACAAAGCGGTACGTCCAAACGGATCGTTTTCACTGCAAAATTGTATTTCTTCTATATTTTTTTCCCCCAGGATTTAGTCATGTTTAATGTCTGTCTGCTTTCTCAAACGACGCCACGCTGTTATCATATATTAATTGTATACGTTTATTGATTTATTTCTTACCATAAATTATAAAAACCGTCGATTCATTTCCATCATAATATTATGAAACATTTGATGTTTGTTGATTTAGTTTTAGCTCCAAATGCGGTGCTCATAAGGTATTTTTTTCGTTTAAAATCGAGAAAAACACTCAGTTTATTTATATATTTTTTTTAAATCAAAAGCCACAGATTTGTATGGAATATTCTCTAGACATAGAATTATTAATAAACATTGACAAACACAATTACAATAACAATATTCTTTATCTCCAGAAGTTTTCTTTAGTTCACTTTTAAGGTGTAGTTTTAGGACTTAAGGTCTGGCAATTAAAATGGAAGTAGATCTATCTAAAGTAACATACGATGATCTAGAAAATTGTAGTCAATCCTTTTTTTTAACTATTAAAGAAATCCTACAAAAATTGAGAAAAAACACAGTGAATCAACTGTCAACAGGTATCTGAAGAATGTTGTTTTGTGTGGTCATTATGATGTATATGGGTAACAAATTTTAGTAGACAGACGATCAATCCTAATTGTATCCACCCTAATATTCGGAATACAATTTTATGCACGTTATAGCTTTTATCGACTTTTGTGTTTCTACCATACACAGATTTGCATCGAAGCGTTTATTCTAATGTGACTTTAGCGCATTCAGTTATAAAAATTCCTAAAGAACTATGACCTCATCCGTCCCACTATACTTGTCCTCGCTATGCTCCGATCCAACTGTGCTAGTTGTTTTCAACTTATACTGTCGTTCAATATAATATAATACAGAGTGGTCACTTTAACGTAAGACACTTATTTTTTTGGAAAATAATTTAAGAGCTTGGAGAAACAACCGAACAATTCCATTTTTTAATTGTTCAGGACGATCAAAATACAATTATTTGTCCAATCCACTACGATTGGTGGGAAAAATGAGTTTCGTATAATCTTTGAAAGTAATAGTCCAATTTTACTTATCGTTCCATCAAAATGTAGATCATTATCCCAAGAAAACCCAATTTTTTTGTTATAAAAATGGGCTTGTCTTGGTTGTTGTTCCAACAAGCTCTTCTATTATAACTATTATAGTTTTTCTTTGTGAAAACACTTTTTTTATGTTATTGTATAACTATGATAAAATAAAACAAATATTTACCTTTTTTTAATATTTTCCAGAATCGCTATCAAATTGATCACTCTGTATATTGTAATAATTTGTTTTTGAATTATTTCTAATACACAGCTGGAATGTCGAATG